TAAATAGAAGAAACATATTTTCCTTTTTCGTGTGTAAAAGGATGTAATGCAAAAATATGTCATAACAAAAAATAAAGCAAATGTTTAATTTTAAACAACATCATACAGTGCATAGAACAAAATAATTCGACTCTCATGATTAAGTTTTGTCTTAATATCATATGCCAAGGGTTATTATGATACAAGAGAAATAAATTTGTCGAGAATGGCTATTAATTTTGTAATTTTAGCATATTATGTTTAAACATAATACTACAGATAAACATTGAAAAACCAACAAAATATCGTAAACACTTTCCCCATTAAGAGATAGAATTTTTTTCTATATTTCACTTTTTTAACCAAAGTTTTAGGGATTGAAGTTTGAAAGGCATCTATTATGGAGCTCTACCATTTACAATTTTCTCAAAACCATTTTGTCAAACTTTATGTTTATTGAGGAAAACCCCCCGAAAAAGAGGAAAATCACACTTTGATTAAGTAAATTTCTAGGTTGCTACGTGATAGTGAATGAACAGTAAACAGGCAGTGAAAATATTTTCATTCTACTGTTAACTACGATACATGGGTTACTATGGCAATACATTTATAAAGACAGATGCGATCAGCTCTAATTGTATCAACCCTTAAACTAAAAATTAATTTTTAAGCAAATAATAATTGTCAGTAGCTGTAGAAGTCCTACAGCTGCAGTTCCCTCAAGAAATGTCACTATCTAGATTTTTTTTATCTTTGCCAAAACATATTGTGCTTATTTTATTTTGTAAGCAAATATATAAACAGTATAGCACTAGTTACTAATGCATGACAACTGAGATAACTGATATTCTCCTACACATTTTAAATACATATTAAAACCCAGAAATTCATAATCTCGATATTTGGTGGCATGGAAGTTAAATATATGAATGGTGTACCATTCCCTGTTTCTGACCTATTTTCTGTAAAATTAAAAAAAATACATTTACACACCTCACTAAGACATCGGTATGTTAGTATGGATTTTATACAGCAAATATACTTGAGTGCTTTTTTACATAATTGTGCAAATAATGCCATAACTAAAAAAATTCAAAGATATCATATTTTATATACTTGTGTATTCGTATAATATTCTTCGTTTTTTTCAATTCTATATAAACCAGGTATTCAAAGACGGTAAAATTCATTCGTTTTGCCTCGCAGTTTAACTTCAGATAATACTTAATAGGCAAGCACAATGTTTTTAAAGTTCTCTCTTTCGTTTCTATTTTTTATCCTAGCGGTTGGCTGTATGAATACAGACCCATATCAACCTGAAGGAAAAACTGATGACGAACCGGAGGATTTTACGGTAATTTATACTATTTTGTTAAAACTGTTATTATTTTTTTTCAATATTTTTCTAAATCATTTTTTATATAATAAAATTGTTTTCCTAAATAAACATTCTCTAGGAAACTATTATTGTTTTAGCTTAAAGACTTACAAATAAAATTATAGTCATAAGTACTTGTAATCAAAATGATTTTCTAATATTGTTTGTTAAAAAATGGTTTTAATATACCTATTAGATTAAACTTAGAGTCGCAGCTTAATCATTCGAGTAAAATTCATTAAATATAATAAATGTTTAACCCAAAAATTGTATACACTTTACTACTTTGTAAATTACTAAGTATTAAGTTCCATCACTCTTTGATTTAATAAATTAATTATTAGTATCCGTAAATCCGAAGCATTTCTAATAAATGCAAATTTTTGTTAACTTAAAGTATACGTTTTGGTTGTATTAAAATAAAAATGAAATAATTCCAGATTCATTTTTATATAGTTTTTTTTTTTATTTTATTATTAAAACATTAAAGCTTATATAATAATGTAATTTTATTTTAATAGCTCAAGTATTTTTGATTTATTTTATAGCAATTTTTTTTAATATATTTCATTTATATTATATAAGTCTAATAAATTTATAATTTTTATTTTTTTATATTTTAAATATCTTTGCTATATAATGTTACATACGTTGTATTGCTTTTCTGTTTACTTTCTTATCATCTTATTTATATCATTATTATAATACGATTACAACAGCGTTCAATAAAATAATTTTAATAATGCTAATACTTGGAATACTAGCTACTATAATTTAAATATTTTCTAAATTCATTAAAAAAAAAAAACAACAATTTTTTTGGTATATTTTTTTTTGAATCTTATTAGTAAAAAAATACAAAAATTAAAAACTTACATACTCCCCCCCTCAAAAAAAAATACATAAATCAAACTACACTTTTGCTTCTATTAATTAATACCATTTATATATATATATATTTTTTTTTTTATTGATTCTGAATTATCAGGTATTTATTTAGGTCTAATCGTATTTAAATTTTATAATCAGACTTTTTAATTAAACTTTGTGTTGATTAACAATTTTCAGATAGTAGATGAGGCGTTCGCGAATGCTAAAAACTGGGTAGACTTGTACAAAAATAGAACAAATGGATATATTACACGTTATGATTATTACTCGTACATGGGTGACATCAATGAAGAGTGGGATTTTATAAAATCATACTTAGAGCCCTATATGCTAGAACATAAACAATGTGATTGTTAAAATTATTTACACACGTTGTATGTCGTTTGATAATGTTTTTTTTAGCTTCGATGCGAAACTGTAAAGCAGTATAATTGGTTTTTAAGAAATAATTTTCATTAAAAAATACCATATAATCTGTAATATACTATTAAATGTGGTGAGACCCAAAAGTATTCTCAAAAAAAATTAAAAATTAAAAACATAATGATCGCCCCTTCGTCCGGACACAAATTTAGACAAATAAAAACACACTATTATAAAAACAATATTTTTTCAGATGCACGTCGAAGCTAAAATAAATTATGTCATTGACAACTGCAATATATCATGCCTCTATGATAACATATATTATTTATAATTAAATTCAACGCCTTTGTTTTGTTTTAGTTACCATAATTTTATCAACATTTCGTGATCTTTTTAAATTGCATTGCAAATCCTCAGAAGAGCCTTTTGCAGTAATTGCTGAACGAAGAAGAGTCGCAACGAAAAATAAGATAGGAACTAATAAGGAATTGGATGAATACTTTTATAATCTGCAGAGGGATAAGATGATCTAGACGGAGATGTCTGAAAAATTTCATTCTGAAAAATAAATTAATATGTCTAATAACGTTATAATTTTTTTTTTAATCTCTTAAATTGTTATTAAAATTTTTTTTTCAAAATACAATATGTCATAACGACTTTAATAATTCCAAAATCTCTGTTTCTTTGCAAATAAACACTTATTACTTATTACTAATTGTGTAATATTATTTTTATTTGTAAGAAAAAAGATGTAAAATTTCATTTTTGTAGTATTACTATTGATTTGATGTAGGTACAAACATGCAAGTACTTCGGTAAAACAAAATTCAAATAAACAAATTCAATGAAATAAATTAGTTGTAGTTAAGGTTAATCAAATAATTGTTATCAGTAGGTATGAATATAATTGTTATCATACATTTGTATGAAAATTCTAACTAAGTTCAACTTAGACCGCCCGTTACGGTTAAATATTTATTTAACTTCTTAATTTACTTCAACTTTTTAAGTCTGATTTATGTAATTAAGTTTTTTGTCAGTGCAGCAAACTTATTTATTAAGCTATTATAACAAGCGTTCGCACAAACTAAAAAAAAAAAACAAGTTCTAGTGAAATAATGTTATAAGTTGAAAATGATTTATTTGAAAGCAGTATTTTAAAAAAAAGAAGCAGATATGCATACATAATGTACTTCACATTGGACTGGCAACTATACAACCACCTAATAATTATAATATCGCCATGAATTGTGTTAATTATCGTTATTTATTATTATGAATACTACAAGGGATAAATGTTTTTGTCACCCTAAGGTCTAAAACCTTCTGCCGGGCAGACCATCATTATGACTCCTCATATGGGTTACACGGTTTAACTATGGGTAACCTATACTTTTAATTGCATTATAAATACAAGTGGCCTCTAAGATTTTTGACTCTAATACCCCATAATAGATGTTTGGCGTTATAAAATCGAGATTAACTGATAATAATATATACTGGTCTGTTTGGACATTTACATCAACTAAAATAATTGAGAAAAAAATATATACTAAGTACAAAGTACATCAAGTTTTCTGAAAACTATGTTTATAAAAATGTTTTGACAAAGGCTGTTAAACATTTAAAATAAAATTGGTCGTTAAGTAGTTCAAGTGATATCTCGTTTCACTCATGTCATCCCAAACCAACTCAAAAAACCAACAGCTAATGGCCTAAGTTGCTGCAGCTCGTACGAAAAGATATAAACTGAAATAATAATATGTTTTTCAAAAATACAAACATTTTCGTTTAAATGATAATTTATCAAAATTTTGTTTATTAATATGTCAAGGGGTTGACTTTAAAGTTTTAACTATAAATTATAGTCGATATTTTTGTAAAATGTTCTCAACTAACAAGCTAAAGACGTATAAACAGATATTTTACCGAAGCGTATTTTTCAATTGAAAATCTATTCATTTGCTGTTAAAACGAAATTCTTTATGTGTTTTCTGCTGTTTTAGTCGTTTTACTTGTACTTAATTGTAAATTTTTCCGTCACTTTACTTTTGGGTAGTCTTCATTTAGATAAGTACATTCCATCAAATACATGTTGTACTTAATAATGCTAGACCTATTGATAAGTTGCTCAAATTTGTTTCTCTTTAAATTACTAATTAAATTATAGTAATTTCGTTTATAGTATATTTGTCATAAAATTCGTTTATTTTGAAACATTTTTAAAAATAATAACATTATTGTTAGACATATAAATTTATTATAATGTTAGACTCTTTAGTCAGGTTTAATTTTTTCCCTCTATTTTTCCGAAGTTTTCTTCTATTTTATTTTTTAATTATTAATCTTCAATCATGAAATTTCTTTAATTAACTTTTCTATCGTTTTTTCTTTCCTAAACTCAGCGAATTCTTCGACGGATAAGTCGTATTTTCTACAATGGTTCATAAAAAGTTCCTTAAATTTTTGTGAATCTATCCAACATAAAGCTAAAAAAACCAAACAAAAATGTTGAATTTAAATATAAACAATATTATATGTTATTATTTGGGTATGCTGTCACTTCAGTTGTCGACGAGACAATTTATTTTAGCAAACATATTATAACATTATTATTATATTATGTAACGTGTTAAATAATGTTTACCGTGGTTTTCCGTTGGATGAAGTTCACGTACCATTTTATCCACGATACTAAGCTCGAAGTCGTTATCAGTCATATACTTGCAAAATTGCCACGTTGAAATACGTACAATACTGTCATTTATTTGGTATTTGCTTTTAATCCAATTTTTACAATCCTTGAACGCCTCTCCTATAGTCTGAAAAAATGTTTGTCAATGCAAATTTAATTCCATAATAAACCCGGTCATCAAATTTAAGTACACCTAGACTTAAATACATGTGTAACTCTTGTGCTAATTATTAACAAGCAATACAAAATAATTAATTTTTCTATTTATTTATTATAAGTAAAAATATAAATTAGTTTTTTGCATTTTTTTGGAGGAGAGGGGGATGTAAGGAAATTAAATGTTTGTATTTTTTTACTAGTTGTGAAATAAAATATTTATTACTCGGATTCGAAAAAAAAAATTAACCAAAAAAATGGTTGCTATGTTTTTTAAATTAATTTAGAAAATACTACTCTAGTAGCTGCAGATATCCTAAGTGCACGTCGCATTATTACAAGCTTTAATGTTTTATTGCCTAAATTAAAAAATTAAAATAAATTTAAAAATCATTTGATTGAATGCTATAATATAACATAGGTATACTTTAGTTGTTTAAAATAAACAATTATTATTATAAGCTTTAATCATTACCCAGTTTTTAGATTGCAAATCTTTAGCCCATTCTTGTACGGTAATTTTTTTACTCTTGCAAACGTGTTTAAAAAGGCCAACAAATTCTTCTAAATTTAAAGGTTCTAAAACAAAAATATACAACAATTTTAATAATATATGTTATTTTAAAGACATGGTGTGGTGCAGTGGTCACCTCATTTGTCGATGAAACCATTTATTTTATCTAAAAACGTACTGTTTTTACAATGATGTGTTTTTATTTGTATACATTTTTTTTTTAATCGTTTATTAAGAATTGATTGTGTTGTTAAAAAATATATATAAGATACATACTTAGGTATTGTAATCTATATAAACATGAATGAAAATACCTACTTTCTTAAAACCAACTGCTTTTCAGTTTCGCATCAAAGATAAAAAAAATTCTATGAAATTATATATAACGTATAATATTACAGGTAATGTTTACCGTCTTCTTTTCCTGCTTTCTCTATGAAGTAATCATTTGCGATTTTATAATCCTTTATGGACATACCCATATACATCACACAATGACCCATTGTAAAATTACTATGTTGGCACTCCAGGAAATTGGTGAACCATTTTCTACAATCATTGAACGATTGTTCTATTACCTGAAAATTAATTTAGAAAATATTTTAGTTGTTGTAGCAGCAGTGAAGTATTTAGGGGGAGGGGGACATCAGATTTTTACACAGACCATCTTCTGTTAATGAATCGATTACCAAAATAAATTATAAAGATGTGTACAGCAATTAAAAATTGAGGATTTGAAGACATATACCCTTATGTAAATATTGCCCTAAGAATGTATCTATGTTGTCCCGTATCAAAATCTTCAGAAAGGTCATTTAGTGCATTAAATTATGGAAGCAAGTCCTTTTGTGTGAAAAAGTCCTAAGTGTAGTTGTCATTTAAATGTAGTGTAGTATGTGAAGTATGTACTTATTTTTCTTTGATATATAACCATAAATGAACCATTTAATTCGTAGTCACTCTTACAAGCTTTAATGTTTTAATAATTTTATTGATTGCTATAATATAACACAAGTATACTTTAGCTGTTTAAAAAAATAAATTTATTACAAGCTTTAATCTTTACCAATTCATCAGATTGCAACTTTTCAGCCCATTCTTGTACGGACATTTCTTTCTTCTCGCAAACGTATTTAAAGAGGTCAACAAATCCTTCTAAATTTAAAGGTTCTAAAACAAAAAATATACAAACATTTTTAACTTAAATATACAATGTGTCCAATATTAAAATACTAATCGATTTTTTTCCAAAAATTAGTAATCCAATCAAAAAGTTGTTTATTGGAGAGTTTTAGAGTACAAAGGGGGACGTTAAAAAAAATATATATGGTCCAAAATTCAAAATTGGCAAAAAACATATTTTTTAAAAGGAAACAATAAATGTTTTACTAACCAGACAAATGTTCTTATCAAAACTAACAACTTTTGTAGGAAAAATTTTTCGGTAAAACCCATAATTTGTAAATTAACTAGTCTCTTAGCTAATTTTAGTTTTGTTATTTTATTTTTATGGTAACCGTGTCATATGTTGTAACTTTGGTATTTGTGGTAATCATTTTTTTGTCTTTGTGATACACAAAAAAGAGGATAACGTCAACGATAAAGATAATGATAATGTAATACCTAGTAATACTAATGGTAAATGTCAGTGGTCACCTCAGTTGTCGATGAAACGATTTATTTTATTTGAAAATGTATTGTTTTTACAATGATGTGTCTTTATTTGTCTACATTTGTTTTCTTAATCGTCCGTTAAGAATTATTTGTGTTGTTAAAAAATATATATAAGATACACGCTTAGGTATTTTAAACTATATATATATATATATATGCAAATGAGAATACTTTCTTAAAACCAACTGCTTTTCAGTTTTGCATCAAAGAGAAAAAAAAATGTTTATGAAATTATAATATAACGTATAATATTACAGGTAATGTTTACCATCATCTTTTTTCGTTTTCTCTTTGAAGTAATCATTCGCAATTTTATAATCCGGTAAGGTCACAGCCATATACAACACACAATGGCCCATTGTAAAATTACTATTCTGGTACATTAGGTACTTGGTGAACCATTTTCTACAATCATTGAACGATTGTTCTATAATCTGAAAATTAATTTAGAAAATATTTTAGTTGCAGTAGCAGGTGGTTTATGCCAAGTACACGTCACATTATTATAAGCTTTAATGTTGTATTACCCAAACTAATTTTTTAATGAATTTTAACATAATTTCATCTATTGCTATAATATGACAAAAATATACTTAAGCAGTTAAAAAAAAAAAAAAAAGTTATAAGATTTAATGTTTAATAATAGTTTCTTAGGTAAGAATGACTATTTGGGGTTAATTTTTCCTTTGTACTCATTTTATAAATGATTCAGCAAAATATTGTCAAAAAACTAATAGTGTTAAAATAATAGTATGTATTACCTCATCTGAACCGGAAGTACTAGGTTGGTCCGGGTTCATACAGCTAGCCGCGATAGTAAAAAATAGTAACAATATTGATAACTTAAAAAGCATTGTGGTATTCTATATAAAGTATAAACTGAAGTCAAACTTTGAGATTAAACGAACACCGTCTTTAGATGCCTGTCTTATATTGACTTGACAAAAAAAAACTAAAACTATACGAGTTATGTGTTTGAATTTTTTATATGTTGCATTATTATTTAAATTGCATATTTGCACAAGTATGTATCGAAGAAGTGTGCAATTTTTTTTTTAATTTCACAGAAAACTGGTTAGAAATTGTGTAATGCAACACCATTATATAAATATTCAATAAGCTTCCGTGCCATCAAATATCAAGACTACGAGCTTCTGAGTTCCAATATGTACTTAAAATGTGTAGTAGAATATCAGTAATACATTGGTAATATAGTGCTATACTTTTTCATTTTTAAAATTAAGAAAACTCCTCTTAAGAGATTTTTGTTGATAAACATTCCTTTATTTATCATTTCGCTTAAATTTTGGTTTTTTTTGTGTTTGTGTGAGCACTTATTATAATAGCTTAGAAAATCGAAGGTTGTACTAGTAATTCATCATACATTGACAATATTCTCGAATCAGATATACTTTTGTGGGATTTGTACTGATACACATGTGTCAATGTCTTTATTCCTACTGCGCTGTATCATTTGATGATTTACAAGACAAAATATATTGAACTTTTTCTTAAGTCCCGTGTGAAATATACAGAAAATGCCTTACTGCTTATACTCGTATACCTACCATTTGTCGAATAAAAGTTATAGTATTAAAAATATTTGTTTTTTATTTCATAGTGCCCTAACACAGCTTAAATGCTAAGTGGCAACATATGTCTATCATTAACTTTTTAAATTGTGATTCACTGATAATAATGTATACTGGTCTATTTGGACATTTACACCAACAAAAATAAAAGTTTTCTGAAAACTTTGTCTTATAAAACTTTTTTGACAAAGGCCGTTAACGAATTAAAGGAGGGAAACATTACAAATACAAATTACAATAAAAGTACAAGTTTATTATGTTGTGTTGCCTATTTGTTTGTTTTTAGTCGGTTAAGCATTTCTGGTCTTTCTACACTTGTATATAATTTGTTTTGCTCATCGACATTTTAAAATTGAATATTTTATCATCTTAGCTAATAACTATTTTTTTTTTAATTTAACATTAATTTATTTTCCAGTATTTTTCAGTATAAAGTCACTTTACATAAATATGTGTGTAGGTATGTGCTCTAAAATACTTACTTATACTTATTTAAAAAACAACAAATTTAATAAAATAGGTCAAGTCATATATATGTACTTGTAATTTCCCTCGCTTTAATATGCCTCGTCCCTATTATAGTCCGACCCTACTGTACTGGCTATTTAAAGAAAAATACTTTATCAATTAAAATCGATGCTGAAAGTAATTACTGACTAATATATGCACAGCTCTAAGCCAGAAAAAAAAACAAAAACATAGTACAGAACTAAGGTCTGAGTTTAAATATTAAAAAACATCTGCTGTGACTCTATTACAATAACAAGTTCTTTGGAAAATATTTTTTTGAACAGCTATAGCCTGTTTGTCATAAAAAATATAATAACGAAAAGAAACAACCAAATATTTTACTTCCAAACCTTCAAAACTAAGAAATAATATAACATAAAAAACACAAAATGTGTTTTCATAACTAATAAAATACATCTATATATATTTCAAAATTTAAGATATTTTTCCTGTGGTATCTTTATATTTATATATATATTATATTATATGCGTGAATAATAAAAACATATTTTGTTTTTTCATATTCGGTTATAAAACCTAAAACTAAAAAGAACATAGTCTAAATTCCGCGCCGAAGTAATAAATTCCGCTGTATAAATAAATAAACGTAGTTACACTACAAAAACCTATTAGATTCTGATTTTACAATCAACACATAAGCCCATCCATAAGTCACAAGGAGAACATTTAGTTTCAAAAGCTGATTATAGTCTAAGAAATCTGCCTGCACGACAATTTTAGTAAGTATTGCTATCAAATTCTAAAAATTGTAATTACCTACAACTAAAACGACATGAGCTTAATCATCCAAAAGTTATAGTTTAAAAAGCAGTAATAATGATTTTTTATAGCTAGTTATTTTTTAATGGATCTTAACAGCGTCCATTAATAGCATTTTGGAGTGAACTGTTTTCTTAAATTATTTTTACTAAAACATTGCTTTTTACACAATCCACATTTTGGAGAGAATTCTATAATAGATCTAAAAACTACAAAAGTGAAAACAATTTTATTTTGTAGTCAACTAAATTCTGCATACTATACATTTTTAAAATAGCCAAAACTAAAATTGAAAAATTAAAAACGAGTTTTTTACTCTGACATTATATTAAAGTAAATTAATGATATTAATTAAATAATTATATTTAATTTTAATTTTTGTAATATTGAAACTTTTTGACTTATGATGGAAATTCTAAATCATTTTGCTAAATATTGGATTTTTGAAGTGGCCAAGTCCACTTGTGGTGGAGGACATATAAATATTAACCCAAAGTTTGTATACTCCAAGACTCTAAATTTGTGAGGTTTTATGAAAAATATTTAAAAATTGTCTTATTTTCACAACTCTAGAATATTATTTGAAAAGATAGTCATTTTTTAAATTTATCATAAAAAAACTGTCTCCTAAAACCAAAGCCTTCTCATCTCTGCACCGGAGACAACTTGTGACTAATATAAATTGCTATTGTGTTTATTAAAATTTGCAGATAAAAATGATTATTTTTTGTTTATTAATATCATTTGTCTATGCAAATGATTCGGAAGATGAACAAGGTAATTATTTTATTTTTACAATCACCAAATTAAAGAAGTTAAAATTGTTTTAAAAAAATATAATATTTCACTTTTTTTACAGTGCTATATAGGAAGCAGGTTTTCAATACAAGTTAGTAATATTTTTGATTTATAAAAAATATTTTTTAATGATTTTAAAATTCACTGTTTTTATCCATATTTATTCAATTTATGTATTACAGATGCAGCCGTTGAGCGAGCTTTTAATACAAATATTACACTTACATTCGATCTTCGTAGAGCAAGTAAAATATATTTAAAATTTACACGCTAATACATCAAAGTGTAACTAATTGTCAAGTAAATTGTAAATTAAAAGTATAGTTAAGTTAAATGGCTTAAATAATGGTTCAATAATATTCTTAACATTTATATGGTACCTAATTTGATTTTATTTCATTCGTTCAGTAATATAAGAAATCTTTTTTTGTCTATTCTAGATGGATTGGAATTTGTAATTGAAAAAATGGTTAATGATGACAGATATTACAAGGAGTTCGGTAACCATAATATTAATAATAATAAAATAAAGAAAGATAAAAGTAGATAATTGTTTTGAAAATCATATTTACGTAATGTTAATTTCAGCCAAAATCAATTTTATGATCGCTGTACCAGGTAATAGTTTTTGTTGAATTTTATGACAATATTTCTTATATTTCATTTCTTTTGAATGTTCTAAGTTTCTATTTTACATGTTATTTTGTACTTTGAGATTGGTCTTTATGTTAATAGTGTAATATAAAATTAAATACAATATCATTAATTAATGTAATGTTAATTTCAGACAAAACGGAGATTGTCAACGATATACCACCAAGTAATAATTTTCATTGCAAATTATGGAAGTATTTCCACACAGTTGTTTGATATTCTATATAGACGCTAGATTTTTATTTTATTTTCAGAATATGAACACCTGTCTGTAATGAAAAGTAACTACATTTTTATATTACATATTTAATATACTTCACGCACATTCATTATTTATAAATACTTTGAGAACAATCTTACATACCTATTGACAAATACCAACAGGACATATTGGTTTCAATCATAAAAAAATATGAGGTATATTTTAATGTATTTTGTTATACATTTTAGAATCCATACATTACCAGGGTATGATGCGATTTAAAATAAGAAACTCGGTATTAGGTAATTTTACAATTTTAGAAATCGATAATTATACTAGTTTGTAGTTCTAAAGAAAAACTATAAAATAATCCATTTAATGCTTAATGTAATAAAGCTATAATTAATACTTTATGCTTAAGCTTTTGATGATCATTCGAAATATAATATAAACTGTTTATTCAAATGTTGCTATTAGAAATAATTTAACATTTATACAAAAAAAAAATCGAGTTCTGCTTAAATCAACTCTGTCTTAATATATTTCAAATTCAGTTAATTATGTACATTTGACAAATTGGGCTCGAATACACAAAAAACCTTGTATCGCCAGAGGGAAATCATTATACCAGTAATTTAAATGTATCCTGCATTAAAATGTACTCCACCTTGCCCTACAGCGGGCTTTATTAACTGCATAATGATTTGATGTATTTGTTACAGGATTGAATACTCCTGAAGTTGTTAAAGACATAAGTAATTACCGAATTTGTCGATAGTCTTAAATAGCCGTAGTAAAATATTAGAGTTGAAATTTTATTTATTTAATGTTTTATGTCAAACAATAATTTACAACAAATTATTTATATCATAATTCATTGAAATTTAATGCAATAATTATGTATCCACGAGCAACTAAACTATTTTTAATTTTTATTATTTCGTCGCAATACGATAATTTAATGATTTTCGCAGATTTCGGAACATTAAATTTGACAGACCTTGGGGACCAGAGAAGACGTTTTGTTAAACGAGCTTTGAAAAATATATTCAGAAAAGGATTTAGTAAATATTAATATGGAGTCAATGGGTTTTAGAGGGACTGTTATGTTATATAAAATAAATTATACACAATGTTTTTAACTGCACATGTTGTAGGGGTTTTAACTATTATATATAAATTTATTTTTAGTTTTAGGATCCATGTATGAGAAGTTTATGAAGCAATTTGAACTAGACATAAGAGACACATTAAGTAAGTATAAAATTACAAAAATTAATAGTTATACATATTTGTAGTACAAAAGAAAAACTATTAAAAATAGGTTTCAAGCTTAAAGTCATAAAGCTATGCATATGAGTAGTAAGTGAAACGCCCTGGCTCCCCAGCAGTCTCCTAGTGGTAGACAAGTGAACTTATTTGGACTAATATGTCATCACTAAACCTAATCTAACTCAATCCAACTGATAAAAAATAGGAGATAACATTGTTTCCAACTAAACTGCGCCAAGGGATAACAGTGTTGCTCTCTCTTGAGCAGCAATCAATTGCAATCTCTCCGGTAATGTGTTCAGATTATGTGTATAGTTCTATTCAGTTCTATTATCGTTTTACACTTAAAATCTCTTTCCTTCTTGGACCGACCACTTTTTATTTGTGTAAAAATTAAAAGAAAACGAGCGGAGACGAAAAAAGTCTTAAATTCGTATTCCTATATCTCGGCAAGCAGTCATATTTACCGTCCCCCAATTCACATTGTGAATGTACTAGGACATTTATCTCACTTTTAAAGTGACTCTTATATATAAAATGTCTAAGCCGGATATTAATAAATGCATAATGATTCAATGTATTTTTTTATATAAATTGCTATTGCTGAAGCTGATGAAGTCCAAGGTAATTACGAATTTTCCGTTTAGTCATAAATAGCCTTTAAAGCTTGCTTTAGAGTTTAAATTTCCCTTATGTTATTCACATAATGTTTTGTATCCAACAATAATTTTAATTAAATAAACGTTTTGTTGAGGAGAGGGAGTGAAAGAATGAGACTTGGCAAAGAGAGCAATATTTAGCTGAAATAACAAATGATAAAATTTTTTTTTTTAAACGGTGCACTCTTCATTTTATTGTTTTAAATAATACCAACTTTAAAAAACAATTTTCGTCGTACTTTCTATTAAAATTAAAAAAAACAAATAATATATTTAAAAAAAATTATAATTTCTTAAACGTTTCATATAATTTTATATTTTGAATATTTATGACATAAAATAAAATACATTTTTGATCGTTATTATTATTTTTTTATTGAGATAAGGCTTCGACTGCTAGGTCATTAGCCTGTAGTTTATACTTACATGTTTATAATGCAATATTGTATTTTACAGTTTATTACATAGGTTTATTGATTTAATATATTTTATAATGTTTCCTCGTTGTTTTCTTTTAGTGCATTTTTCGTTATTATTGTAGAGAATAGCTTTATGGAATTAAGAGGTTTACAAATTGGCATCAAAACGTTTATTTTAAAGTGATTTTAACACCTTTATTTATAATAATTCCTGTAAACCTGTGACCTCCCCGCCCCCATTATGTCCAGTCCCAACTACGGGCTTTTTTATATTTCATTATTCCTTCTCAACACAGTCATTTAACTATTTTCGTAGGTTTGGAAAAATTAAATTTGACAACCCTTGTAGAAGAAAGAAGAACTACTGGAAAATCTTTAGAAAATACAATTAGACACGAATTAAGTAAATATTAGTATGGAGTTGTATGGGGGTTTTAGAGTGACTGTTATATTATAAAAAAATATAAACAATGTTCTATTAACTGTATTATGATTTGATGTATTTGTTACAGAAAAGGGTATGCCTGAAGTTCGTGACTCATATTTTGTTCCTATTACTGATGTCTTTTATGATGATGATGATGATGATGCTTTTGTTGATGATGTTGCTTCTGATGATGATGATGCTTCTAATGATGATGTTGCTTCTGATAATGTTGTTGCATCTGATCATGATGATGTTGCTTCTGATCATGATGTTGCTTCTGATCATGATGATGTTACTTCTGAAGATGATGGTTCTACTTACGTTGATTTATCTTTAATGTGGATGTGTCGTTTGACAGGATTATACATAAGTACAATATGTCCAACATTTTACATAAAAAAGCTTGTGATTATCTCCAAAAATAAAACTTGTATCCTATGGGATGGAAGTATATACAGAATATATAAAAAAAAGGATTGCGTATTGGAGCAAATAAGCGCCGAAGACGCTGAGAAACAATTAAGGCAGCTATCAAGAATCACATAATTTTGACCAGCAATAAATGGTACAACTCGTCTAAAACCCTTTTGTTATTTCATTGTAATAATATTTACATATAGCACTAATTACTACTAGGTGTCAATTATTTTAATGTAGTTTAAATCACATTTGTTTCTTGAATTTTACAGAACGTTAGGTATTATGTATTCATTTTAAAGAGATTTTTATGTTTATTGAGGTGGATACCATTAGGGTTGATCGTCTGTCTGTAATAATAAATTGCCATAATTACCCATTAACGTAACTAAAAGTATAGAATTAGGGACGATTCACTCATCAATCTAGAAATTTACTCTGGTTTAAGTGTGATTAGGAAATTTTAGGTTTGAAACCACTCTACGACAAAATGCATGAAGACACAATTATCATACAGTATATAAATAAATTTCATTAAAAACTACAACAGTTTTGAATACCAATTTTGTTTTTAAGTTTTTAGTAATATTTCGTTTATTGCAAGACTAAAATATATTTTAAAAATTGTATTTTTGTTTCAGATATTACAAAATAATATTGAAGAATACACTATGCACAAAAAAATTAATTACATTTGATGAAAATTGCATACATACATTACAGTAGTATAAAACGGTTGTCAATAATCAATAGATTATTTAATTAATTTGTATAGTTGCTAAAGATTTATAACGAATAAAATACATGTAATAAAATCATTTTTTGTATATTTTTTTTATTTTTCCATTGTACTTTGATGCATACTATTTAGTTTTTTCTATCACCTTATCATCCAATATAACAAATTAGGTTTTAGATTAGTACCCGTGTATGCTCATAAATAATTGTGTCTATTTTATTGACCGTGAAACTTTAATAGCTAAAATAGTTGTTCATAGAAAAAAAAGACCACCGTGTATTTATTATAATTTTTTTTATCATGTATCTGAATACATTCAGTTCACTCTAAAAAACGAGTAGAAATATTTTTTTATATTACTATAAGAAATACTGTTTTTTTTAAAGTATTCCGTTTGGTTGTTTGTGTTGTATGTTTCAACTATATTTTATTGCCCGGCAGTATTGCAGTATTATAACATTTACACAAGTTATTTGCTATACTAGGTATTCGCTATACCTAGTATTTTTCACAATGACTGTCGCCTAGCAAACAAAATATGAAAAACGCTTGTTGGTTACGTCCACATGACCTTTTAAGACAGTAATATTTTACAAAAACCTATGTTATATTATTTATATGACTTTAATCGCAGTGGCACATTCATTTCTGCACAATGCTCAAGTAATAAACACAATATTATATTGTGGTTTTTTTTTTCAATCCAACACAAGTTGTTTCATTTTTTATATTTTTTTCATAGTCTTCTATCAAATATCGTATGAAAGTTTATTCAAAAAATGTAATGGTGTTACAATAGGTACACAATTTCCCACCTATGTTTTGTAAAATTAAAAAAAAAGTCACACCTCTTCGCTAAAGGCATTGCTTTGTTTGCACACATGACATTTTAATAATAATGCCACATCTAAAAATTTAATAGCAGCCATATTCAATATACTCTTATAGTTTTAGTTTTTCTTTTTAATTCTATACAAGACAGGCTTTCGTAGTGGGTGGACATTATTCGTTTTTTCTCAAAGTTTACTCAAAGTTTTTACTTCATATAATAGCACTATGTTTTTAAAGTTCTCTATTTTACTACTATTTTTTACCCAGGCATTTAACTGTATGATACCGAAATGGCCTGGATCTTCAAGTTCATCTGCACCTAATGAGAAAAATGAAGTCATAATACAAATAAATGAGATATCTGATGATCAGGTAATAAATACTACTATTTTAAAAATATTAGGTTATGGAACTCAACTTAGTATTGATAAAAAATGTTTAGATTATTGAAGACTCGTTCAAATGTTTTTTAAAAGTGCTCACCGAGGTCGTGGGGTATAATACTAATCATCCTATTGCAATGGTTCGTTGTATTCCGCATATCTGTGAAACCATACAAGATGTTCAAATCACTAATGATTACCTCAATAGGCCTACAGGAAAAAGTCATGGTAAACATTAACTATAATATTATTAGTTGTATACATTATTTATAATTAAATTCAAAATGTTTGTATTTTTTTTTGTTTCAGAATTTTTAAATTCTGATTTATTTGGTAAAATTTTAAAACACCATTCCATCGAAAAAAGCATATCGGTACAAGAATGCGCTAATCGTTGGAAAAATTTATGGGTTAAGATTAAAGTTTATAATAATATTTTTTTTGCTACAACTAAAATATAATAGTGTTATATTATAGCAATAAATAAAATAATGTTAAAATTAATTTTAATTTTTTAATTTAGGCAATAAAACATTAAAGCTCCTAATAATGCGACGTGTACTTGGCATACCGCTGCCACTACTAAAGTATTTTCTAAATTAATTTATAGAAAAATAAAAAACATTTTTTAGGTTTTTTCATAGAATCCGAGTAAAAAATATTTGATTTATTATTAGTAAAAAAATGCAAAAATTAAATTAACTCCCGCCAACCCCCCCCCCCAAAAAAAATAATACATCACAGTAATTTATACTTTAATTTATGACAAATTAATAAAAAAATGAATTTTTTTTTTATTCCTTTAATTATAAGTATATTTAAGTCTGGGTGAACTTAAATTTTATGACCGGATTTTTATGGAATTAAACTTAGAATTGATAAACAATTTTCAGATTATAGAAGAGGCGTTCAAGGATTGTACAAATGCAATAAAAATCATAAACAGAATAGATCACATAGTTGAATGTATTTCAACGCGGCAATTTAGCACGTATATGACTGATTACGACAACAAGGATAATATCGTGTTTTACAATGTACGTGAACATTATCCAAGGCAAAACCATGGTAATCATAAATTACACACGTTACATATCATTTAATAATATCTTTACTAAAATAAATTGCCCTCATAATAACATATAATATTGTTTTTTAGCTTTATGTTGGATAGATTCACGAATATTCAAGGAACTTTTTATGAACCACTGTAGAAAATTCAGCTTATCCGTCAAAGAAGTCGCTGAAGTTAGGAAAGAAAAAACGATAGAAAGAATAAAGAAGGGAATAGAAGTATTGAACATGAATAAAAAAAAAAAAAAATAGCGTAATCAAGAATAAAAATGATGGAAAAATGTACTCTAACATTATAATATTTTAATTCTTAATATAATTATATATCTCATATAATATAACTATTTTTCAAAATGTTTCAAAATAAAATATGTCTTAACGACTTTTATGACTCCAAAAACACTGTTTTTCTTTTCAAATATACATCGGTTATTTACATTATCGGCAATATTGTTTATAAGAAAAATGAAATTACCATAAATTAATTAGTGATTTAAAAAAAAAAATTTGAGCCACTTTTTAATAGCTATTAAGTACAACGTGTAGTTGAAGGAATATAGTAATCTAAATGAAAGTTACCTAAAAGTGGCAAAAAATGTTCATTGTTTTTTTTAACCGTAGTTTTTAGAATTGCAGTAGATCTAACTAAAGTATACTGTGAATCTATTACACGTAAAATTCGTTTTGTTTTTTTATGCCAGAAAAAATATTTTCGATGGGAAAAATACTGTGGAATGTTGAAAACAACAATTTGCATATTGTTATAAAAACTAATGGTTAACGATAGTTGTATCGACCTATATGGATCAAAATATAAGCTGTTTTCTAGTGAAATATTTTCGCATTTGAAACACTTGTACAAATAAGTACAAGTACAACGACAAAAACAGCAGAAAAGACAAAAACAATTTCGTTTTTACAGCAAATGAATAGATTTTCAATTGAAAAATACGCGTCGATAAAATATCTGTTTATACTTAAGATTGCAAAATCCGTGGCGATTAGATAATTTATTTTATCTAATATGGGATACTGTTATATTATGTAACTGTAAATGAATATATTCCAGTATATTCAGTAATCCAGAATGAATAATCCTGCCCATCTTTGCACGATTTTAGGGAGAAATGTCGAAGCGCAAAGTCGCTATCGAAGGCCATAGGAATTGAACAAAGAACAGAATTTCAAGTTTTTTTTCTATTTTGGAATTAAATACACAAACATTCTTATTACCATCCTGAAATTCCCCCCGCGACACAGCCTCTAACTAGAGCAGCTAATATATTATAAAATATGTACTTAAAAGCTAATAAAAAAATAAAGACTGTAAAACCGTGAAATGGAGTATTTTTTCAAAACTTTTAACTTAAAGTATTAATAAGTTAATTTATTTTATTAGGCTTTCAAGTGTGACTAATCTTAAATTAATTATATACCATAAACAAATTACCAAATCATTATTAATGCAGTTAATATGAACACATTTTTTATTTTTATTAAATTTATCAAACACAGGGTGGCCCAGGAAGATTTCACAAATGAAATGACTTTTGTTCTAGTGAATATTTTTAAGATTTTTTTTTAAAAATAAATTTACACTCATTTGCGCTATAAGCACTATAGATAATTTTTACTGCACTTAATTATTTTGCTTAAATTATTTTTTTTATATCTTTTTATTTGAAAATTCAAGATAACCTTTTTGTTAAGAATAATTTGCTGAAAATTTTAACTGCTCGGTAACCAGATTTGGACAATTACCCATTAAGTTACTAAAGGTTAAAGGGTAGGATGGGAGGTGGTGTGCGGTAGAGAAATGCGTGCAAATAAAAATAGCTCTACGCGCTTACTGTACCGCACTCCACCTCCCATCCTATTCTTTAATCTTTAGTAACTTAAAAAGTAATTATCCAAATCTAGTTGTCGACCAGTCAAAATTTTCAGCAATTTATTCTTAAAAAATGGTCATCTTGAATTTTTAAATAAAAAAGTAATTAAAAAAATAAAAAAATAATTTAAAAAAGCAAAGTATTTAAGTGCAATAAAATCTATAGTGCTTATAGCGCAAATGAGTATAAATTATTAAAAAAAAAAATCTTAAAAATATTCACTAGAACAAAAGTTATTTCATTTGTCAAATCTTCCTGGGCCACCCTGTAAATTAAACCAATAAATCTAAAAATAGTAATTCCAACAAAATTTTACCTTATTATAAAAAAGGTAATGTACCGAATACTACCTTAAAAGTTATAGCACATCTTATACGTGACATAATAAATGTATTTTATGAACATATTTAAACTGGTTACCATTTTTATATGGGGAAAAAAATTGAAATGATATCTAATCTGCGTGTACTTATAAGTGAATTTACTGATACTAGTCACTTATGTTAAGAGTAGTATAGTTAGTTTCTTCCGTGCTCGCGTTGTACTGAAAGCCAGGACGGTGCAAGTGCTTGCTTATGTATCCAGTGTAAGAATTCAAAATATTTACATATATATATATATATAGTAAAGGTTGATTATGGCGTTTAAATTTCTATATTCAGCCATTAATTCGTCCATATCGACCACACCGTGGTCTGCGGGTTGACAGTCGGTGATCAAAAGGATCTCCAAGGAATCTGCAAAGAACATGATTGGCCAGTTAAACCCGTCCATTTTGAGTAATAGTTGAACACTGGCCATAGGTTCGTAAGACGGACCTAGAACGACACTTCTGTCAATAGATTAGAGTAGCCCGAATACGCCCAACAAGTGTGACGTACCGACGCACTGTTGTCACACTAGTATCCAGCTTACTCCAACAATCGTCGGCGACAAACTTTTGTAAAATCCTGATACACTCATCGATTGTATAGACCGTTAATCTGAGAAAATCTGTTAAAGTGTAAAAGAATTATTTTTCTATATAATTACAACGCATCTTACATCAAAGTTCCTACTCCCGTAACATTTTTTTTGGAAGTAGTGTTGAGACCTCTAAATGGTAAAACTGATCCATGGAAGTAGTCGATCATGTTTTAAATATATTTATAAGACTTACCTAAATAATATATGCTATGTCAGTTTGTTTTATTTAAAAAAATTAGTACCCATTTATTTGTACGTTTTTTAAAAAAAAAATCATAAATAAATGAAGTTAAAAGGAACATTTACTGATAGCGGAGGGGAGAATCAGCTAGTTCATCTTTTTGGTACTTTAAGGTGGGCTGAAAACTTTAAAAATATTAATAATTTATTTGTTGAATTGAAAATTGGCATGAATTGACTCAGAAATGTTCAATAATTGGTAAGACTCACTCATCACCTTAAAAGCGTTTTGAGTAATTTTGATTTCTCCGAGATAAATATTCCTCTTATAATAGTTGTATGTGCTACATATAAATGTTTTCAAAATGGTTTTTAATAAGTTTAATACATATAAAAATTTAACTTGAAAATTCAACGTTTGAAAATACTCTTTATAATATTATCCAACTGTAAGACAATATTTTCTTTTATAAATTATAAATGTGTTGTTTTTTTAATGATTGATAAACGTTTTGACTCAAATCTTTTGACTTACACATTCTATAGAATCAATACAAGTATGTTTGAAGTTAATAGTCGGTAAAGTCTGTACTAATAATAAACTTCAACCGTGATAAAAGTGTCCTTTTTTTTAAAGATGGGAAATAGATAATACATACAATCTAGGTAGGTAGATTAAGTTAAGGCTGAATAATTTTGTCTCCTTGAACTTAGCAAAACCGGTATTACACAATATGTATTTAGAGTAAACCGGTTGGTTTATGAACCTTTTTATATGCAAATGACACAACGTAATATTATATTTCTATAAGATATCTTAGTTTCTTCACACTCTAGTCGGTATAACCGTGCTTGTTTATCTAAAGGCTCACAGCGAATATTATGGGATATTGGTTTTACATTTAGTTTAAACAGAAAACGTTTGAGAAAAAAATTATTTTTGTTTTGAAATAGGTATCTGTTATTGTCAAAAATTGTAAATAGTTTTTTGCAGGGTCTAAAGTATAAGGTTTTTAAATATTTTATTAACCTAAAGTAACAAATACCTATTAAAAATACACCAACGTGCAGCCCTCGTTAATATTATATACTTGGTGTTTTATAATAGGCAGTGGCCCGAACTTCAGTTACAGTTAAGTTTTGACTTATATTAAAATACTTATACTTAATACACGTAGTCATTGTCTCCAACCGTTCGTGCAAGGTATTTTTTTTTTTTTTTTGTTCAAATTTACTATTTGTTTTACGGACTACTTTAAGACAGTACTTGTAAAATTATTAAATGTTTTTGTGCGCACATATTATGTACGTAGTAGGCATATTTGATTCGATACAATTTTCAACTTTTGATCATATAATATATTATAACCTTCGAAATTTTAAAATAAAATTGCAACCTAACCGTACTCGATCAGCTATATCTAAATCCACTTTGGCAAAGCAGGTATTTTGGTCACTCAAATGGGTTTAATCGTTTTCTTTGAGCAGAGCTTCATGTCATTACTTTGGCGGTCCCAAGTTGAAAAACACAATTTCTTCCTGTACAAACACCTTAACAAATTTTAGCGATATATTTATTGAGTAATAAAAGAGTTGACACGACATGATCTAACAACACAACAATCGCCGGTTTAGGGGATAGTAATACATTTGAAAACGACTTAAACTGGTTTTAAACTTTAAATGGTGTAAACTCTGCAAGAAACGCTTTTATTCGAGCCTGTACTATTTAACAGACAACCATTGTTGAGGTTATTTTGGAAAAATATTTAAAAAATAATCCCATTAGTTGCATAATTAATATTTTATTGTGCGATAATTTCTGTAATTTTAACATTTGATTATATATTCGATTACTATTATATGAGATTTGTTATTGTATGTTTTTGATATGAGATCCCAGTTTCTTCGTGTAGGTCTTTGGAGTCTGAAAAAAGAACACAAAAATTGTTAAAAATGGATATGAGTTCGGCTTTGGATGTCCCTCGTAAAAACTACATTTGTATTTTACTAACAACCTTTCTTATTATTTTAATTATATTGTTGTAACACTGACATGCACCAGATACAATATTGATACATAAGCAGTGTCATAGCCAGAAATTGATTTAAAAAAAAGGGCAATAATTAGATAGATTAGGGTAGGTTAGGTCCATTTAAAAGAGTTTAAAGGGTCTAAACTTTACAAGATGAGCAGTATAACGTTTTTAAGGTTACATTAAAAACATTTTAAGAAAATTAAGTAATAGGTAGCATACCTTGTTAATTTATTTGACACGTTTCTCTGAACTCGTCTAGAATGGTCTAAAAAACGTACAAAAGTGTTAAAAACGGATGTGAGTTTGATTTTTGGTTGTTTCTGTTAAAAACCAAATGTATATTTTATAAGCGACCTTTCTTATTACTTTCACATTACAGCATTAGAAGTCATATTAAAATAACGCCATGGAAATCATCAAAAGATCTATAAAGGCTAGAAAACCATTAATATACTCAAAACTCACAAACTAGCACATGGGAATTGATTTAACTGATGCTTTTACAAATTTTTTTACTAAGAGCGTTTATGGATAAAAAGATTTAAGAAAAACCTTTAAGAAACCAGTAAAGATAGACTGCTGACTGGGGTAGGTTAGGTTTATTGACAAGGGGTTAAGGTGTCTAAACTCTACAAGACATACCGTTGTCCAACTGTGTTGTTTATATTTTGGGAAAATTATTAAGGAAAAAATTAAGTTGCAAAGGTATATATTTTCTGTTTACTTCATACTTCAATACTGTCGTTCTTTGTTAACGTGCTTGCTCTGCCACGTTCCTACTTATAATATCAATACTTTATACTTACATGTTTGCTGCTTTGAGTATGATCATGGAACGATTTATCTTTATCGCGAAACATTATCATACCTATTTTAACATCTCTTTTTTTCGCATGACGGGTAGTTTCTACAAGTGTCATTTTAAGTTCGGATGTGCTAAAATATACAAAAAAATAATAAGTATTATACGATAGAGACCCTCTTAAAATATTGACATTTTTGTAGTTTTAGTATTATAAAGTTAAAGAGGATTGCAATCAAATGCAATCAATGTACCCAAATGCATCTATCTCTGTTCTTTAAATTCTGCATTTATATAATAGCATGTAATAATATATTTTAATATCATACCGTCCATAGCTGATAGGGCCATAAATGTCCGTTGGTTCGTTGCTATTTTTATAATCCGTTTTTAAACCGGAAATCTCGAATTGCAAATTCTCTACGAAGCAACCCGAAGCCCTTATTTCGGGATAAGCTGCCGGTATGCCCGGAATGGATTTTGAAAAGTCTCTGTACAATTCCGAATTAGTGTCTCTGGCCTCCAAGTATAGTTTACCTTCTGGACTAAATAAAAAAAAAAACACAAGGTACAAACTGTTCAGTCCACGAGGTGGATAGTTGAATTTGAAATACTTATTATATTGTATTATACTTGTATTTGAGATGCTGTCCATCCTTGCTGGCCTCTCTGGCCTTCGTGGCATCAAAATGCTCAAGAAGCCACATGAAATCTCCGGAGACGCCTGTCTTTAGGGATTCGAAGTTGTTCACAAAGCTGCTGTCGTGTGGTACACACTTGTCTACGATGGAACTGTCGAACAACTGGATGGCCTCGTTGAGAACACAGACGAGTTCGTTGAGAGCGTCGACAAACGGTATGTTATATTCGTTGGCAAACCTAGTTTTCATCACTTCGGTATAGATTTTGTACTTGATTGTTAAACCGAGCTTCTTCCCGATGAGTCCTGCCCATAAATTGTGCAGTTCCTCCTTTGGCTTAGTGTGGAATCGGTGGACTGCTCGTATTCGTTCGCCGCCTGTTTCTAAATTGATGTCAAAGTCCAATATATTTTTGTCCCACTCTATCGAATCGTATAGTTGTTGAAATTTTTCATTTCTATACACCGATCGGATATCGAAATTCGAAGAGTTCAGATCCGTGTGATTTATGGCCCAGTGCAAGTTGGTCTTGTGCTCCCACAGCTCCTGGAATATCAAGTAAGATGTTAAGCTTGCGTACCTCGTTAACGTGCATTCATAAGCCGTTTTGATTATGTTGCGGATCCACTCCAATTCCGCCGCAGTGCTGTTGTCTGGGTTTTGCATAAAATATTCCACAGCCGTCTTAACGTTAATAACGCGGGTGTTAGTGCCATTGGCATCTTGGTAAATTATTTGTTGGTCCATAGCCGTGTTCCATTCGGCAATGGCGATTTGCCGGTTAAAAGCTTGTTTTAGTCCGTTCAAATCCAAATAGTAGTCAAACACGGACGATACGCAATAAACGCCGGAAAGACACAATAGAATCACACTAAAACGACTAATCATTGTTGTTAATATTTTAGTGTCGTTGAATGTACTTGCTGTAGCTTTAAAAACACAATCGTTTTTGATCGTCGGTTCACAATACCTGTAACGTCTACGGAATATCTATAAAAAAAAATAAATGGCGTTAGCACAGTTGTTGCGGTTCATTTGTTGTTTGACTTTCTTTGTGTGCGTTTTTCAAGAATTTTTACAATCACGGTTATAGTAGGTAGGTTTCCTTCGAATCATCTTTTTATATTTTATCAATATTTTCATAGCCGAGCAAACTACAAAGCGTCCCAGTACATACAAATTTTCTTAAATAAAATCATTGTACCTAATAATAATACAACATTTTCTATCTATTTTTAGGACAATGAATACAAATTTATTATCAGTTTTGAATTTAGCCTCTAATTTAGGGGAGTAGCAGGGGTGTTTTTAAGTACTAACTTATAATTTTAAGAAAAAACTATCACTGTGTCTGCATGTCCTTGGATTGTCTTAAAGTGTGTGTTTTAAAAAGCCAAGGTAGGTTTATGTATCCTTCAATTCGGTGCCAATATTAAAAAGGGCCAGCACATTTATTTTAGATTTTAAACAATTCATTGGTTGGGCTGTATTTGGTTTTTAATTATGTTTACCCGTTAATCATTAATAAAAGAAATGTATATATACATACAGGGTGATCCAACAAACTTAGAACACTCATTTTCTCTGAAAATAATAATACTTTGAGAATTTTTTTTTTCTAAACTTATTTTACTACATTTTTGAAAATGTTTATCACCCATCCTTATAAGCAAAAAAAGGGGGTTTTTGGTTTTTTTAATGGCAACATGTTTTCAGTTACATAAATTTGTAGACAAAAAATTTAAAAATATGTTGGCGTTTGAATTTTTTGTTTTCATTAATCAAGTCATTAGCTATGACTTTGTAAATATACTACATTTCCTCTTAATATTATCATATTTCTTCGGTTTTCCAAAACCAAATACCAATAGCACATAAAATTCATATTATTATTATAAATAAATAATAATATTATATTATTCATTGTAAGTGCGGTTTAGTGTTGAAACTTGAAATTGTTACTCCTCTGTCTTGTAACCACGCCAACAATCAGAATAAACAGTTGTGCCTATTTTGATATTATTTTTAATTACTTCCATGATTTAACGTTACATTTCCAAAATATTTGTTTTCCAAAGTACAACTTCGATTCGTGACCAGACCCACACACCCGTCTTATAGGTAAAATACCATGATCTTGGAAAAATGTGTCACGGCATCTTTTTCATTCGATGGTAAATCGATGCAATTAACAAATTTTAAAAATTCAAAAAAACTAAAATTAACGTGTTGATGTGTTGATTAGTCTGAATAAATAATATAAACAAATGGAAGATCTTGGAAATATTTTTTTTTTTATTTGCACAGAACAACACGGTAATAAACAACGGTAGAAACAATAATTATAAACAGGAAATACGAAAGTATTATACAAAATGATCAATAATAGAAAATTATTAACAAGAGTATGATGAATGAAATTAAAATATAACACACAAGGGTAAGTTTAAACCCCTGATAAGAAAATCCTTTATCATAGCAAATGTCCGGGTTACCTGACCGGGTCCACCATGGGCCGAAATGGGCCATCCTCGGTTTCCAAACCTGTTCCTGGAATGGGCCACTGGCAACGTCCTCGGAGGTCTTTGGTTTTGGCTTGACGGTGGCTTCGACTGTGGCCGTGGCCGTGACGTTGGCCGTGCATACATTTAGCCGGCGGACAATGAAACCCGTTATGGGAAATACCAGAGTACAATACGATAAGAGTGTACAAAAATTAAGGAGAAACAAAGTAATTACAGTCATAATTAAACAAGTAATAAATAATACACAGACAAAAGCGGCAAAATATATAAAACAAAAAACATTCATCGATAAGTGAACGAAATTAAACGCCGTTGTTATTGTTATCCCAGGGCGATAACAGGAAAGGATTGTCAATGGGACGTATAACGTGGTAGTAACAACAAGATGGGAATATAAAAAAATGTAAAAATAACCGTTATGGACGTAACACCAATGGCAATGAATCGAAAATAAACAGCTTAAAGCGTAATAACAAGTGATTAGACAATAACTTTCAAAAATGTGCAAACACAAAAAGTAGACAAATGACAACCAACGTCTAACGTCTTCGGTGGCTTCGGTGGTTGGCTTGACGGCGGCAAAGTCTTTGTGCATTCCAGTCCAAATGTCTTTGACTACTTCGTGCACAAAGGACACTTCTCTCAGCGACATAGTTTTCGATAATCAATCGACAAGTCAAATAGAACGCGAAATAAATATTATTAATTCATTCACAAGAGTTAAATTTTATAGACACGGGGTAAATATTTTAGACAAGACAAAATTAACAAACAGTAACAGTAAGACAAGACGATAGTAACAATCAAATAACGGCTGTCGTCGCGACCGAATGGTTTGTATGCAACATTTGATTGTATATTAATGTTTAGTAGCCAGGCATATTATTGTTATTATAATTATAAAAGTAACGAGTATAGGTATAGTATATTTTTAACCCCTTAACAGATTTCTTCGTGCGGTTAAGTTTATCGATCAGAAAGTTAACCCCTTCCCTTTACATTATACAATTGACAAATTTTACACCATTTTTACAGACGCTGTTTTTTCGAACATATTAAGGGTTAAGGTTTGTTTAATGTTTGTATTATTCTGATTTCTTTAAACGACTGTGCTGAAGCCATTTTCATAGGATTTTGGCAGTTATTTAGAAGTGAAAAAAAACAGATACAAAGTCTGGTCACGAAGTCTTTTTTGAATTTCCAATAAATGTAACTTGAATGGATATTTTTTTATTTCGTCAGCGCCAGTTGTCATAAATGTACATACATTTGAAATGCAGTGAACCGTTCCTTAAAAAACCGTCTTATCTTTTCTTATCATTGTATAATATTATTTGATTAGTACACTTTGATCGCTGTTAATAAAATACTACATTCTCATATTACTAGCAGAATATAACTGAATTTATTTTCTTGTATAATATATTACATTATAGTCGGTGGTTATCGGTGAAAAATTAAAACCACTTTGGCCGAAGATAAAATAATACGCTAGTCTTAATCCGTGTTGTAAAAATTTAAACCATTAAGATAATAACGTTATAAAATTGTATATTTTTATACACACACTTAATGGAACAATACCATCAATTTCCATGTCGTCAACCACGTAATAATAATCCGATTTAAAATGACTGATAAATGCTTTTAGAAGACAACATAAATGTGTGTCTTCTACAATTATTTTTTTAATTGTATCTACATTATTCAATTTGTACTATACATATAGCATTTCCTACCGACTGTAGTGTTTACCCATAATAGGTAGGTACCTAAATTGGCCTACATTGAAATATAAAAAATACTATATTGTAGTACAAGATACTTATAAACAATAACAATATTTCTTTTAATTGAAATTTTACTCTAAATTGACACGAGTTGCTTAAACTTTTAAAACTTAAATAAAAATTAAGTCCACAAGCCACTTTGATGACAAAATATGTACAATAACAAAATTACAATAAATAAAAATAATTTCAGTAACAATGAACATGATAGTTTGGTCTTGGTTTTTTTTTAGGAAAATATTTTCACAAGCGTTGGCATTCCTTATCCCAGTTTTTTGGTACATAATTTTCTGTTGCAATAATAAAGTCTTCCAAAGTTGGTAAAAAGCTGGTCTGCTCTTTCAACTCTAACGATAGAAAATCTGGACTGTCGTAGCTTTTCGAGTACATGAGCTATATAATACATAAGAAACATCAGTAGTGTATTAATCATAAAATGTCTTGACCGATACATTTGGTTCTTAAAGGTTGTACACAATTTGGTACAATTCATTATTACTCACTTTAACATAGTGTTCTCCCTTAATTTTATGCAACTCCACAATGGCTGCTGCTCCATAATCAGGTTTGAATGGGTATTTCATACCCAAAGTATTAAACAAATCAATAAGGGTTTGTTCGTGGCTAAAGTAAGCAAAGAATTTTCTATCTGGAGCTAATCGTCCATCCATTTTGTCACGCATGATTCTTACCATTTCTCCAATAAGTTTACCGGACCGAAGCTTTTTCATCAAGTCGGTTTTCGTGTATGTTCTCAACCATTCCAGAACAATGTTTTCCAATTTATCCATATAATTTTTTACTTTAATCCACGAAGGTAGAGTCATATGATTTCTTTGCTGCAAAATTATTAATTTGTTTAGTACCAACGCAATCGTAAATTGTGTCATTGACAATTTCTATTACTTGAATATTTAAAGAATTGTATATATTTTCAACGTCTGACAGATGTTTGATTTCCATACCAGTATGATTGGACAAATAATCGAAAAAGGTTCTCGTCGAATTGTTTTGGAACATTCCGTTTTCGGTTTCAATTTTAGCCTTTCTAAATTCTTCGTCAAACACGGGACATGGTTTGGTAACTCGTAGTAACTACAAACACCACATAAGCGGTAAAGCTTTAAATAAAATTTGCATGTATTTAAATTCAAATGCATCTTCTTATTTACAATAATATTATAGTTACATTGTCTTGACTTGATGGTATAGAGTGAATTGGTATTGGTATCCACTGCAACTCCTTATTCCATACTTGTTTTCCAAATGGAGGGAATGCCCCAGCTAGAAAAGTCGATGCCGTCATCGCTGTACGATCAGTGTCTGTACTTTGAACTAATATAAAGCTCATGTTGTAAGTGACGGGAAGAAATTTGATATAGCGTTTCCGTAAACGCCTGCCACACTCATACGATCGTAGTTTTCCTGCCTATAGTATACAAAACTATAATATTATTTAAATATCTTATCGAATGGATAATGTTTTTAATACATTATGTTGGAACGACACGTTTTAATATTTAATATATATCACTTAATTTGAAAAAAATTGTAAGTTAATTTTTAGTTTGGTATATGTATTGTTTTTAATATGTAAATTATAAATAGTAATAATAAATGTATACATTTAAATGCTAATTTTAACTTCTTAAACAATACAAATAGATATATGATTTTTTTAGAAAAATACATATAATACATTTGGCTTGATTGATAGAGAATTGTGGCAATATAGTGGCCGCAAACAAATTTGATGGTGCCCAATCTATTTTTTTTTTTTTTTTTTACAAAAATTGAGATTGACTATGAACTAATTTCTATAGTACTGTATTAAATTGTATTATGTGAGTAAAGAATATTTATCGAAGCATACAGTTTTGTTTTTCTTACATTGGTCAGCTGTCCAAGTCCGTCTGGCCATATTCCTTCGTCGGTAGGAGGGTATAAATCATTTGGATAGGTTTCCCATTTGTGTGGACTTCGATCGCCTTGTCTATAAATCTTTTTTAATCAAAAACAAACAGAGTTATTTCAGTAAAGTAAACCAATGATGATAATTATTATTATACAACATCGGTGCAATTACTTACGACCATAATGAGCTGCAGAGAATTTTGTTTGCGTGATTCCTGTCCCGCAATTAAATAGTAAACGACGAACACGGCAATTATAATGCCCGACACCAGTACGGCAAAGAACGCACCTCTGTTTTCTTTTTTCAAATAATCAGGACGGTTTTTCTTGGGAGTAAGCTTACTCTTGGAACTATGAAACTCGGAGTTTTCCATCGCTAAACACCAAATAGTCTACACATGAATAATTATTATTGTAAAAAAAACAATCAGACCGACTCGAGTGGGCAATCAACATAATTCACTGTACACCGACTGTGTAATTGTCCTACAGTCTACACCTGAAGGCTACTGGATGTAAATTATTAAAAACAAGCAACAACAACGTAGTACAAAACTAGCCACTGGCGGTTACAGCATTAGAGTCGGACGAGATAAGATTAGGAAATATCACAACAAAAATGTGTTTGGCGTTTGTTTCAAAGAAAAATTAAAAATAATGAATTCGTTCACACCGGCGGACACTATGCCGTGCGAGTACATTGATGTCAGATGTGCAATTTCATCGATTCTTATTACCGTGAATAGTATTAAAATATTTTATTACTAGCATTTTTTTAATTGGTAATATTACTAGGTTTTGGACAACGTTCAAAAAGCGCCGGTTGGAAACAACTTTCATAATATATAACATTTCTGGTGGGGTTTGCTCGAGGCAACAATAAAAAATAAATCGGGCTGATGGTAAAACAACTCGGATCGAATTAAAAACATAAATAATCTGCTATTTCTACGTTACACAATGTGTATTCTAATAATTTCCTATTAAAGCCATATTGCGAATATTATTACTGAAAAGTGAAATAAGCTGATTTAAATAAAAAACCGTATAGATGGACAAAGTCTATTGTCTATTCCGTGTATAAAAATACCAATAGAGAATAAGTTATTTTTGTTTTATACACCTGTACTAAAAAAAATATATGTTTTAATCATAGACCTATAAAAAAAAATGTTTATAGGTCAACGATTTTATTTTTAACGTATTATTTACATAATATCATCGGTTTAAAACCAATGGTATTATGAACTGATAATATTATCAACTAAGCGATCGGTGATAGAAGTAAAAAAAATGGGACAGAAAATTGTACAAACGCAATTATAATCTGTTTTATGACTTATGAGATATTTATTATTTAAATATTATTATCTAAATGTCGAATTCAATTCTTTTTATCAGTATTTTACAGTATAATAGATAAGAGTCCGTTTTTTTAACCTGTGTATACATAGGTACATACATATTATGTAGGACCATGTTTTTAGTCTTGATAGATAAAACATATAAAAAAAAAAAATAGTCGAACGCTGAAAAACTAGAAATACTGCAAGTTTGACGTCACGAAAAGTTGTACAATATGTTGTAATTCCAATGATTTTTTTTGTGACAAAAATGTATAAAATATTATGTAAAATAGGTATGTTTACCGAATGGTAACTATTTTACAGCGAATTATTAATAACAACCTATTCAGGATAATGACGCATTGTTCAATTACCGATTAGACACGTTTTAATAGGAAAAATTATGGTAATATTTTTTATACTCGGAAAGTCGTTGCTTGCGGTTTTAACGACCGTAACATAGTAGTTGTACAATAAAAGGTATTGGGTATTTAGTAGTATAATAATATTTACTATATTATTCTGTCATTTTATAGTGTTTTTAAATGTTTACCATTCACGGTTATCCTTATCATAAGTCATTTTATGTGATAAAAATTCATAACATTATCATTTATTATATTTCCGGCGCGCCGTGATAAAGTATATGTACTAGTTACTGGCAACTGCCAATAATTTGACTGAACGAGGAAATGTAAAAAAAAAAAATATATAATATATAGGATTTGGTAGTCTCTAGACTGCCAGTGTGTAATTTAAATGCCATTTGTCAAGTAATTACCGCTTTTATTGTTATGACTGAACAAAACTCTCACCGAATGTAGTATAATTTTGAAAATGCATTAATTTGTTCACACTACCATGTTGGAATCAGAAGCTGGTCGTTGGACGAGTTTGTTTCCAACAAAAAAATCATTGTTCATATTTGTTTTGTACATTGTTCTCTCGATCAATCACGGTAATGCTCTATACAATAATATTATGGTATATTATATTCTATTGTACTTGTTTTCAAATTAAACCAGTCGCATGCGCATAATTATTATAAAAATGAAAAGAAAAAAAATTCACCAACTGTTTTGTCTTGTTTATTTTATTTATTCAACGTCATAATAATAATATTCTGAATTAACAGGTTTGTTAGTAAAAATATCACAAGTCACCGAGACGGGGTTGTATGATTACAACGTTATTTCAGTTGTTCTTCTGACCGAACTATGTAAACTGCTGATATCACTTCTTCTATTTTGTAAAGAGTAAGTAAAAACATATATATATATATATATGTATACATATAGAGTATATAAACTTATTATTAGATAAAAAATAACAATAACAATTTACAACAAAAAACATATCAAGAAATATATTAATATTCAACACATATATTCTTATCAAATTTAATATTAAATTTTTTTATTGGTATTATTATTTATGAAATTTGAAGCACAAAATTACTATACTAGTAAAGTACACCAATCTTTAAATTTTTGTATAGATTTTAATAACGATTCGGAATACTACGACCAGCCGTTTTCACTGGCGATCTAATGCCAAGCAAATATTTTTCCTCAATAGTGCTCTATGATATAAATTAATTAATTTGTATAACATTCCGAATGTTTGTATGCCCAACACGCTAAAAAAGATTCCTAAAACTATTAAATTGAGGATTGTTTAAGTTACCTAATGATGTATAAGAAAATTGATTAGTGATGAAAATAATTGTTACGAATTAATATAAAAAAATCTATTTTTTTAGTAATCCAATAAGAAGCATTATTGATAAGACCAAGGAAAACTCTACACGTAAGTTAATAAGTTTTGTTATTGTATTACTCATATATTTTTAGATTCATATTTGTATTCATAATATAATTTGTTAATAAAAGAAAAATTATTTTATATTAAATATTGATTTTTAATAGGTTGTTTCTGTTGCAATTATTTAAGCAAACCTCTCTAGATTAATTTTTAAACATTACTATTTATTTTGCATTAGATTTATTGTATTTTTTAAATTTTTTGTTTCAGTTTTGTTCCTTTATATGATACCGGCATTTCTATATTGTTTTTACAATAACTTGGCGTTCATAAACCTATCAATATTTGACCCGACAACATATTTCATTCTACTTCAACTGCGTGTGCTATTAACTGGAATTGTTTACCAGTGTTTGTTTCAAAAAAAACTCAGCAATATTCAATGGCTATCGTTAGTTCTATTAACCATTGGATGCATATTAAAAGAACTGAAGGTGGACGATAATGTTAAAAAACATTCCTATGGACTTGTTACCGGGATGGTGTTGATGGCAACACAAATATTTTGTTCCTGCTTGGCGGGCGTGTATAATGAATACTTGCTCAAAAACGACCGCGGTTCAAAAGTCAATGTGTATGTCCAAAATATGTTCATGTATGCAGACTCGATAGTTTGTAATTTGATACTATGGCTGACAATGTCGCAGCACACGCAAACCGCCAAGTCGCTGGACAGCAGTTCGATCAATTTTTGGGTAATTGTTGAAAATTAAAATTCATTTTAATTGATGTGGGTAATAAAAATTCACGATTTTTTGTGTTTCATTTCAGGCGATTTTAATAGTTTTGAACAGTGCCGCGTACGGAATAGTGACTAGCTTACTTTTGCATAGTTTAAACTCGATAATGAAAGTATTCGCAACGGCAGTCGAGCTGGTACTCATTGCCTTGCTATCGTGGATAATTTTATCCTATCCAATTACGTGGCAGACTGCAGTTGGAGTGTGCATAGTTTCGTTTTCTGTCGTAATTTACGCTAAACATCCAATTACAAAAAATGGCCAAAAATCAAAACCTATTAATACAAACTCCAGTAGTGACACAGTAGTGTGATGTTCTTTTGACGAATACCACCGAATTTAATCTTCGTATTACTTGTTGCATAAATATAATTATGTATAAATGCATTACATATATATATTTACAAATATTAAATTTACAGCAAACTGCTCACAAGTTTTGTTACGTCTGCATAACACAATATAGCTAGTATACAACCAGTTCAAACAAGGTCCTGTGTATAGTATTACTTAAATAGGTACTTAATAGTATTAAAACCAAAGATTTGTATACCAATTGTATGTTATTTATTATGATTATTGTACGTTTATTTTGTTATAAGCAAATTACTATGTAAGTATTTTTAATTACCAAATACAAAAATTATTAATCAAAAGATGTATTCAATTTTTTATTAAATTATTATAACATATATTAATATATATTTTTTTTTTTATTGTCTAAAGGCTTCGCCTTGTCGCTTCAACCAATCTTCTCTGTTATCTGCCAGTATTTTCATGTCTTTATAACTTGCTAGAGATAGTAGCTTCTTCATATTCCCCAGATTTGTTTCTCTCGGCCGTCCTCTTCCTCTTTTCCCCAATATTAATATAGGTTAATAAATATTAAAGTCATTTGTAAACTGAGAGAAAAATCTATCGCTCATTGCATATATTTTTACTAGCTTTGTAGCTAAATATAACTGTTTATACTTAAGGTAGGTATAGGTTGTCGCAAATTTTTTTATAAGTTTATTTGTCCCATTTTGATAAATATTTGTGTGTATATTTTAATGTAATGAGTCCTATTTACTTATTATCTCAATATCTAAAAAAAAACCTTATATTATTTTTACAGTATATAATAAATTGATGCATGTTTGAAAATAGGGTCCGGTGAGTGGTGATATGAGAGAAGGGAAGGCTCATGTCTAGAGCTATGCCTTAAGAAGTTGGAAAGTACGTCAAAATCTTTCAGGAGGCATCTCTAATCATATCGTGGCGTTAATAAAACTATCCATTCCTCTAAACTATACTTCTTAAATTGCATTAATAAAAAAATGTAAAACCACATTCCTAAATCCTAATAATTATAGAAATAATATACATATGATTTAAGATTAAAAACATTCATTTTTGTTCACTAATTAAGGCGTTGCGTCGTCTGCACCAGTGTAATGTCAAAAAAAGTAACAATGACATATATTATTTTTAAATATTTCCAAACCATTATCATTAATATTTAATTAATTAAGTTTTACATCTTTCATGTGATCAAGTTTATTTTGTTCAAGATTGTTTTTATAATAAATAATTGTTTGAATAAAACGCATGTGTATACTGGACCAGCTACTATACACACCCTTCTATCAAAACCACAATTAATTCAATCTATGCTAAATTAATATTAATGATGTAGAGCAAATTTTATGTTCAAAAAAATCATATAGGATCTCCTTGAACACAAAATTTGCAAACCTTTGCTGACTCTATGTGAGTTTTTAACTGCTGAAAACAAATCGTTTCTATGTTAACTTCTGCTTGTTGTTTAAATAACAAGACGTAGCAATTGTATATTAAAAGTCAATACTTAGATTTTAATATTTTCAGCGAACAATATGCATTGTGTCGAAGCGTTCTGCAAATATATTTTACGTTAAAACAATTACTTTTTCGAACGACTTAAACATTACTGTCATGTTATAGCATAAGTTTGGACGTAACTTCAAGCTATTTCAAAAAAAAATCCGAAGGCGACCAAAAACTCAAAAGGGGTTTCGCCTGGAGACTTGATGGTAGGTATTTCAAACACATACAGTTATTATATTATGTAACATAATACAGCAATATGTTCTTCTCCCTCATTGTTATTTATAATAAATGTTTAAAAAAAAAAAAGAAAACTGTTATAAGAACACTTGGAGTTTTAAAAGTTGGTGAATTAATTTAAGCATTTGAGAGTCTATAACAGGGCGATTTCACATTTGGGCTTCAGAGTAGGTAATGCAAAAGCCCAGCATGCTGTGTAGAAATCTCTTAATATATAATAATTTAGATACCAAATCTAAAGTCCAAATCCAATTATTACACTAAATACTATTTACTAATATTATGTTAAATTTTTTTTTTTTTAGATTGAAGTGCAATTATTTACACGTGGCGGTCGATCATAAATTTCCTAATTAAGTATAAATAATACGAAGTAACCCGTAAGCAAAACATGTAGTCATTTATTTTAAATATTAATAATAATTTAATTGTTTACAGCTGTAAGGGTCCGGAATTAACTACAGACGAAATAATTGTACTTAAGTTTCTCTGCTCAGTAAAATTCTTACATATTAAATTCAAAATAAAATAATTGAAAAAACTTTTTTTCTATATGACTGGTTTGTTAATTCTCGACCCTTTTCTAGTGCTTGATTTAGTATAAGTAATGTATTCCTCAGACGAATTTATAAAAAGGGAGTGTAATTATTGGAAATATTTTTTTCAACTAAATCAATACATTTCTAAGTAATATATTCTGGTCTCACTTGGAAGTAAAATAAAGATACCTACGCTTAAATATCTAAACAATTGAGTTACCTCCCCTCCCCTCTACTAAGTCAAGTACTATGTGGATTAGGTCTATGTACGATGATGCCATTTTACTCTTAACTCTCCCTTTATAAATTATTTTGGACAACCGCACAATTATAATTTATTTGTTTAAGTAAATTTACACATTTTAGCACTATTGTAATTTCAGATAATTGAACTAAACTACTTTAACAATTTTTTCGTTTGTAACTTTTCACTTTCGCGTTGTGGTCGTTCTCGTTATAGTTCATAAACCTCTCACATTTTCTGCTCAGTAAAAATGAATTACTTACTTTAAAATTTGCGCCCAGTTAATCAAGTCACGACATTTTGTACACCAACAAGATTTTTTTGTAAATCAAATTACCAATATCTATCCCGTGATCCTCCTACTGGATAACCTCCTTCGTTCTCTCTTATACGCAAAGTCTGTCGATACCGGGATATTTTAGTTATTAAGTTAGTCATTAAGTTAGTCTTAAGTTAGTCATTAAGTTAGTCATTAGGTTAGTCTTAAGTTATGCCCGGATCGACTTCGATGCGTAAGTCCACCATTGTCTGTGTGTGGCCGCCCAGTCTGTCGATACCGGGATATTTTAGTCATTAAGTTAGTCTTAAGTTAGTCATTAAGTTAGTCTTAAGTTATGCCCGGATCGACTTCGATGCGTAAGTCCACCATTGTCTGTGTGTGGCCGCCCAGTCTGTCGATACCTGGATATTTTAGTCATTAAGTTAGTCTTAAGTTAGTCATTAAGTTAGTCTTAAGTTAGTCATTAAGTTAGTCTTAAGTTATGCCCGGATCGACTTCGATGCGTAAGTCCACCATTGTCTGTGTGTGGCCGCCCAGTCTGTCGATACCGGGATATTTTAGTCATTAAGCTTAGTCTTAAGTTATGCCCGGATCGACATCTATGCGTAAGTCCACAATTGCTTGAAACGCCCTTACCACACATTTCTGGTGGTTGTACAGTAAATACAATTCGAGCATCATCGTAGATGGAGATACCACATTAAAAAAAACGAGCCAAATACTCTACCTCATAGGTGGTTTGGAAACGAGTATACAATCCCTAATACGAAGTAACCGGTAAGCAAAACATGTAGTAATTTATTTTAAATATTAATAATAATTTAATTTATATATAGCTCTAAGCCAAATACCTATTAACCATAACCGATTAAAACAATAATTGAAATACTAGGTATTGTAATCGATATTGGTGATAATTAATAAATGCTTATAAGTAACAATAATATGATATTACCTACAGGTAAGTACCTATAAAAAAACACTTAACGACTACTACTCGGTAATTAAAATTTCAGTTTAATAAAGTTATTGTAAATTAGTGTTGCACATTTGTAAGGTAAAACAGATTTTTTTACTAATTGCACTACTTGCGGTATTATCTTTAGTTAAAAAATATGACAGCATTGATTCTATAAAATAATTTCTTCACCATTACAATTAAAAAAAAAATCAATATCATTTTTTTTTTTTTGTTTAAATGTCAGTGATTCGTGTCAACCAGTAGAATTTATGTATATTCAAACTATTTTTTGTGACAAAACCACATTTTATTAGTATCCACAAAATTGTAGTAAGATGGAATATTCTCACCCCCCATTATTTACTTCCACTAAAATTGTACAGATTTCTTATGGGAAATTTTTTTTTACAACTTGCCCGTGCTAAATTGTGTAGTTAAAAATGCTTAGTTATGCTGTGTAATAATATGTTATGTTCATAAAATGATTATTTTGTATTGGAATAGATGCAATGAATTGTCTAGCAAATAATACTGCAGGCATCATAAATAATTTTTTGAATCCCGCTTATAATTACAGTAATTTTTTTTTTTCTAAATGTTTATTTTTTACAACAGTTGTCACTTCAATAAATTCCCATCAACACTTATACTTTTTAAAATGTACAAATAACATCATTGCATCTACTCCGCATAATTGTCGTGACACGGACAAGCGTCCTTTGTGTTTGCCTTTATCCAATCCAGGTATTTAGAAACTCTAGTGTAGACTGACGGAGGTGATCGACAACCTGTCTTACCAAAAGAGGTGATACCTAAAAATACAATTTAATATGATTGATATACTCAAATTGGTAATACTCTATTGTAAAATGCAATTATTCTCAATATTACCAACAAGATGATGAACTGAACCGTTAGAAACCGTCAAAGGCCCGCCACTGTCACCCTGCATACAAAACTTTTATTGTTAAGATATTGTTTATAGAACATGCATTTATACGTCAGGACAAAGCCATCCTTTTGCATTATAAGCTATTTTATAGCTGTACTTACATTGCACGTGGATTTACCCTCGTCTCTCATGCCTGCGCACACCATATCTGGGGTGATAATATTGAAATAATATGGCCCACACACACTGTTGTCCAATAAATAAAGTTCAGCTTCACGTAAGACCCTCGGTGGACTAATATTACTTCCTTCCGTCAGTCCCCATCCAGTGGCTACGCCTACAACGGTAGCATAACTAAGTCCTATAAAATCAGCAATATAATTATATTAATATCAACTTACCCGTTTGTAAAAAAAAAAAATAATGATATTAGGATATTATTGTACCTTTTTCCGGCATGCAAACCGGATGAACATCGTTATTTATTTTCACACCATCAGTGTCCAGTCGAATTAAGGCTATGTCGTTTAACGGTGCTACTCCGTAATTGTCATAACTTTTATGCCTTATAATTTTCTTCACATCGTATTCCTCAAAGATGTCTGTATTACGATCATGTACAGAAAGTCGTACTTTATAATCACTTGCTTTTAAAGTTCTGCAATTAAAACCGAAAAACAAAGTCAATTTTGGACATTTACTAAACCAGCAGCTGCTTAGTTCAAAAATAGTATCTAGTTGGTATTTAAGGGCGAGGGGGAGGCGAATACGCTAATTTTTCAATTACTCAGGTATGAATTGAGACTAAACACATACGAATTAAATATATAGGTATCAATTTTATGTTTAAGAGTTGAAGGTAATTTTTGGGAGAATCTTATTTGAAATACCTATTATCGTTATTTATAGTAATAAAATCATAAGTTTAAATTACTCTACACAATGACCGGCTGTTAATACGTATTTGTCGTTGATTAATGAACCACCACAATTGAATTGACCGTTTTTTAATAGCAAAGCCATCCAAGGATATTTATGAGCGTACTCCACTTCTTCCCCACCGACTATTTTCACATTGGAACCTAAAGCCCCACAACCTGAAATTAAAAATTAATGGAGTTGGTTAAAATCTCTACATTATTCTATTAATGGACTAAGACAATCGACGATATCATCACAGTCCTATTATAAATTAATTGGTTGTATAAAAAAGTGAAAAAACCAACAAATAAAAATAAGTTAATTGAGTATTCGACACATATTCATTGTAAACATAGTATGTATAAGTTTGAATAATCATATTTACATAGAAAATATTAACAACAATATACTTACTGCACGGTGGACATTTTGGTTTATACAAATTTAACAATTTGCCAATTTGCAACAATTTTCCTGAAATGGTTTCCCCTTTGTTATTTAACTCAAGCTTGTATTTGCTAACCAACATTCCAATTTTGTTGAAAAAATTGACCTCCTGTAGAAAAGTATCATACACTCGATTAACATATTGTATTATCTAGTTTCTTAAAAACATAATATTAATATTAAAATAAGCCCTTCGGTAATAAGAATATACCCAGTTCTTAACTTAATATGAGGTAGGATTAATTTTCTCACCGTCATGTCTTCTAAAGTTAAATCGTCTGAACTTTGAGGTGATGCCTTGGCCACCGCAACGAGTACCACGATGTAAAACAATATTTTACACATCTTTGTTTTTAAGTTGTGCTTTAAAAAAACCACTAATTTTTCATTTATCCCCTTTGTCTAATGAGTGTTATATCAGTTATGGGTTGGTCTATACTGATTGGATATCTAAGAAGTAAACTTCGCTTATTTATAGGTAGCCTACGGTAATAATTTTGTTATAATTTCATAATTTCGATAAAAATAATATAAAAGTTAACTTAAGTAAAAATCCATTATTACTACAGCTTAATTAAAATTATAGTGCCATTGTAATAAAATGGAAATCGATAAATACAGTGTTAATTAGTATACAACAAGTTGTAGAGTCTATTTAACCAATTTTTTGCAATGTTATATAATTTTTTCTATCTTTTGTAATAATATGCTAGTATTTTAAAACATATACATATTATGTCAATTATCTAACATAGGATATGGAATAACATTGAGCTCAGTTATTATTTGGATTTTATGTGGTCAGTATTACTAGTTTTTTTAGATCGTACTGAAATAATAAATAATACTTTAATGGTATTAACTTAACTTAGTCTTTTAACAACCTCATTGTTCATGTCAAACCTATATTATGTCACGTTTCTGAATCGTTAATATAAGGTACTTGCTATTGTTGTTTTATTTTTTAATGTATCTTAAGAGTAATTTATAAAAAAAAATAAATGTTTATAAACTTGTATAGTTTGGCAAAAAAACCAAAGGATTGGTTTGCAATGGAATATCCGCTTATAATTACAATAACTTTTTTCTTATTACTAATGTTTATTTTTTACAACAGTTGTCACTTCAATAATTCCCATCAACACTTATACTTTTTAAAATTTACAAATAATATCATTGCATCTACTCCGCATAATTATCGTGACACGGACAAGCGTCCTCTGTGTTTGCCTTTATCCAATCCAGGTACTGGGAAACTCTAGTGTAGACAGCCGGGGGTGATCGACAACCTGTCTTACCAAAAGAGGTGATACCTAAAAATACAATTTAATATGATTGATATACTCAAATTGGTAATACTCTATTGTAAAATGCAATTATTCTCAATATTACCAACAAGATGATGAACTGAACCGTTAGAAACCGTCAAAGGCCCGCCACTGTCACCCTGCATACAAAACTTTTATTGTTAAGATATTGTTTATAGAACATGCATTTATACGTCAGGACAAAGCCATCCTTTTGCATTATAAGCTATTTTATAGTTGTACTTACATTGCACGTGGATTTACCCTCGTCTCTCATGCCTGCGCACACCATATCTGGGGTGATAATATTGAAATAATATGGCCCACACTCACTGTTGTCCAATAAATAAAGTTCAGCTTCACGTAAGACCACCGGATATCTAATATTACTTGCATCCGTCAGTCCCCATCCAGGGGCTACGCCCACAACGTTAGCATAACTAAGTCCTATAAAATAAGCAATAGAATTTTATTGTAATCAACACTTCCGATAGGAAAAAAAAAAAGGATAGTAGGATATTATTATACCTTTTTCCGGCATGCAAACCGGAAGAACCTCTCTATTTATTTTTACACCGTCGGTATCCAGTCGAATCAAGGCTATGTCGTTAAATATTAATCCTCCGTAATTGACATAATTTGCATGCTTTATTATTTTTTTTACATTGTATTCCTCAGAGATGTCTGCATTACGATCGTGTACAGAAAGTCGTACTTTGTAATTACTTGCTTTTAAAATTCTGTAATAAAAACCGAAAATTAAAGATAATTTTGGACATTTACTCAATCAGCAGCTGCTTAGTTCAAAAATAGTATCTAGTTGGTATTTAAGGGGGGGGGAGGTGAATACGCTAATTTTTCAACTATAAATAACTGAGGTATGTATTGAGACTAAACATATAAGAAACTAAATATATAGGTATTAATTTTATGTTTAAGAGTTGAAGGTGGATTTTTGGGAGAAACTTATTTAAAATACCTTTTATCGTTATTTATAGTAATAAATTCAAAAGTATAATTTACTCTACACAATGACCGGCTGTTAGTACGTATTTGTCGTTGATTAATGAACCACCACAATTGAATTTACCGTCCCTTAATATCAAAGCCATCCAAGGATATTTATGAGGGTATTTCACTTCTTCCCCACCGACTATTTTTAGATTAGAACCCAAAACTCCACAACCTGAAATTAAAAATTAATGGAGTCGGTTAAAATTTTACCATTTATCAATAAATGGACTGAAACAATCGAAGATGTCATCACAGTCCTATTATAAATTAATTGGTTGTATTAAAAACAAAGTTAAATGAATATTCGACACATATGCATTGTAAAAAAAGTGTAGGTTTGAATAATTATATTTGCATAGAATAACAATATGCTTACTGCACGGTACACAAGATTTTGGATTATACACATTTAAAAATTTGCTAACTTGCAACAATTTTCCTGAAATGGTTTCCCTAAGGTTATTTAACTCAGACTTGTATTTGCTAACCAACATTCCAATTTTATTGAACACATTGACCTTCTGTAGAAAAGTATCATACATTCGATTAACATATTGTATCATCTAGTTTCTTAAAAACATAATATTAATATTAATATAAGCCCTTCGATAATAAGAATATACCCAATTCTTAACTTAATATGAGGTAGGATTAATTTTCTCACTGTTATGTCTTCTAAAGTTAAATCGTCTGAACTTTGAGGTGACGCCTTGGCCACCGCAACGAGTACCACGATGTAAAACAATATTTTCCACATAATTGTTTTAAGTAGTACTTGAAAAAAACCGTTAATTTTTCATTTATCTCCTTTGTCTAATGATAGTTATATCAGTTATAGATTGGTCTATTATACTGATTGGATATCTAAGAAGTAACCTTCGCTTATTTATAGGTAGCCTACGGTAATAATTTTGTAATAATTTCATAAATTCGATAAAAATAATATAAATGTATACTAAACTTTAGTGAAAATCCATTATTACAACGGATTAATTAAAATTATAATGCCATTGTAATAAAATGGAAATCGATAAATACAGTTTTAATTAGTATACAACAAGTGTAGAGTCTATTTAACTAAGTTTTTGCAATGTTATATTATTTCTTCTATTTATTGTAATAATAATGTGCTAGTATTTTAAAACATATACATATTATGACAATTATCTGACATAGGATATAGAATAACATTGGGCTCAGATGTTATTTGGATTTTATGTAGTCAGTAGTTGTAGTTTTTTAGATTGTACTAAAATAGTAAATAATACTTTACTGGTATTAACTTAACTTAGTCTTTTAACAACCTCATTGTTCATGTCAAACCTATATATTATGTCACGTTTCTGAATCGTTAATATAAGGTACTTGCTTTTGACGGTTTATTTTTCAATGTATCTTAAAAGTAATTTATAACGATTCAATAGTTGTTTTAAAAATGGTCAGTTGATGTTGATATAACTCTACTTAGACATGTTTTCATGAAATTAAAGTTAGCATATTCTAATTTATTTGTTTAATACGGGATCATAATTGGACAACCGAGTGGAAAAACTTAAGATAGCCATAACTAGCTAAAATGTAGACTCGTATTGTAAGCGTTCAATGGATTTAATTCCTTTAAGATAACAATAAAACAAATAAAAATAAATACTATTAATTATTTTAGTCGACGTATGTAAGTATATATATATAATAATAGCATATTAATATTTCAATAAATAGTAAAAAATTATAAAACATTATCTGTTGTATACTAATTAAAACTGTATTTATCGATTTCCATTTTATTACAATGACATTATATTTTCAATTAAGCCATAGCAATAATCATTATGTTTCATTAAAGGTAACCTTTATATTGTTTTTATGGAAATTATGGAATTATTTAATAATTATTACCGTAGGCTGCCTATAAATACACGAAGATTACTTCTTAGGTATCCAATCAGTATAGACCAACCCATAACTAGTATAACACTCATTAGATAAAGGGGATAAATGAAAAATTAGTGGTTTTTTTTAAGTACAACTTAAAAACAAAGATGTGGAAAATATTGTTTTACATCGTGGTACTCGCTGCGGTGGCCAAGGCGTCACCTCAAAGTTCAGACGATTTAACTTTAGAAGACATAACGGTGAGAAAATTAATCCTATCTTATATTAAGTTAAGAATTGGGTGTATTCTTTTTATTGCAGGGCTAGTTTTATTATTACTATTATGTTTTTGAGAATCTAGATATATTATACATACATAGAAAATAACTAGCTTGTAAGAGCATGAAATATGCTGAAACATTTAAATGAAAAAAAAAAAAGAATCTAGATAATACAATATGTTAATCGAATGTATGATACTTTTCTACAGGAGGTCAATTTTTTCAACAAAATTGGAATGTTGGTTAGCAAATACAAGCTTGAGTTAAATAACCTTAGGGGAACCATTTCAGGCAAATTGTTGCAAATTAGCAAATTGTTAAATTTGTATAATCCAAAATGTCCACCGTGCAGTAAGTATATTGTTATTAATATTATCTATGTAAATATGATTATTAAAACTTACACATATGTTTACAATGAATAAGTGTCGAATACTCAATTAACTTAGTGTTATTTGTTGGTTATTTCACTTTTTTATACAACCAATTAATTTATAATAGGACTGTGATGATATCGTCGATTGTCTCAGTCCATTAATGGAATAATGTAGAGATTTTAACCAACTCCATTCATTTTTAATTTCAGGTTGTGGGGCGTTGGGTTCCGATTTAAAAATAATCGACGGGAAAGAAGTGAATTACGCTCATAAATATCCTTGGATGGCTTCAGTATTACAGAACGATGAATTTCATTGTGGTGCTTCGTTAATCAACGACAAATACGTATTAACAGCCGGTCATTGTGTAGAGTTAATTATACTTATGATTTTATTACTATAAAAATAGCATTAGCGGGTATTTTAATTAAGTTAATCCGAAAAGTGTACCTTTAACTTTAAAGACCCGTCGCCTTTTGTATAAAAATAGCTGCTGATTGAGTAAATGTCCAAAATTGACTTTGTTTTTCGGTTACAGAACTTTAAAAGCGAGTGATTACAAAGTACGACTTTCTGTACACGATCGTAATACAGACATCTCTGAGGAATACAATGCGAAGAGAATAATAAGACATGAACGTTATACCAAGTACGGAGGAGCACCGTCACACGACATAGCCTTAATTCGACTGGACACTGATGGTGTGAAAATAAATAACGATGTTCATCCGGTTTGCATGCCGGAAAAAGGTACAATAATATGCTACTATCCTTTTTTTTCTCCTATCGGAAGTTTTGATTTTAATAAAATAATATTGCGGATTCGATAGGACTTAGTTATGCTAACGCGGTAGGCACTATCACTGGATGGGGAAAGACTCATAGACATTATTTGGATCCAACGGACGTCCTTCGTGAAGCTCAACTTTATGTGTTGAGCAACAGCGAGTGTGAACCATCTTTTTACGGTTTGATCACCCCAAACATGGTGTGCGCAGGACTGATCGACGAGGGTACCACATGCAATGTAAGTATATAATTATAAAATAGTTTACAATGCAAAATCAAGGCTTTGCATAAGTTCATGCATGTTCTATAAACGGTATCTGTACAATACAAAATATATTTTATGCAGATGGACAGTGGCGGGCCTCTGACGGTTGTTAACGGTTCAGTTCATCATCTTATTGGTAAGATTTCGAATAATTGCATTTAACAATTGGGTATTCTCAATATGAATTTTGATCGACCATTGTAATTGGTATTTTTAGGTATCACCTCTTTTGGTATGTCAGGGTGCCGACCACCTCCGGCAGTCTACACTAGAGTTTCAGAGTACTTGGATTGGATAAAGGCAAACACAGAGGACGCTTGTCCGTGTCGCGATAATTATGCGGAGAAGATGCTGTAATATCAATTGTACATGTTGAAAAATATAATTGTTAGTGGGAATTTATTGAAGTGACAACTGTTGTAAAAAATAAACATTTAGAAAAAAAAATTAACTATTGTCATTAAAAGCGGATTCAAATAATAATTTAATGATGCGTGCAGTTTTATTTGCAAGACCATTTCTGTTCCAATACAAACTAATCCTTTCATTCTTCTATTTTGTAGTATTCTATTTTGTGAGACCTGTATTTTATTAAGGTTCGACTTTTTAGCTGAGGCCCAGATTTGGACTGCATATGTCCATAGCGGTTTAAGAATTTTTTTAAGTTAAAAAAAAAAGACCATCATGTCAAATTCGGTCGAAACGTCTAAAAACACAGCAAAAAATTCAAGATGCCCGAAAAGTTGACGATGGTCTTACATTTAAAGAGGTTTCTTCGACTTTTTTTCAATAAAATTCATCGTTTTTCTCAAGTTTTAGTTACAACTGCATTTTTTTGATTCGTTTGTTACTTATATTTCGATAACTAAATCTGAAAATGTCAGTAATCATTCTTTGATTTTCAAAATATATTATTTATTTTTATATATAATTTCCTAATACGGGTTCCCACACACATAAATACATTTTTGATAATTTAAGTTGACCTTAATGTTACTCACCTAAGTTATTAATTATCTTCGTTTTTGGTTGATTTTGTTTATAAATCTTAACACTTTTTTTGTTGTATTATATTTTGTTTTCTATGTAAATTTTTGTTAAATTTATTATTTACGAAAAACATTATTGTTTGTATAATTTGTAACTACATTGCTAAAAAAAAGTTACATGGATATATTTTATCGCCGAGGTCGTTTTTTCATATTACTTATATTTATTGTTTACTAAATTTTGAAAATTTTGTATACATTTTTGTTTTTATGAATATCCACTTTTGGCAATTAATTTGTTTTTCCATTTCTACGTTTTGTGTTCTATGCATTTTTTTTATATATATCTATACCTTATCATTTTCCTTTAGGTATATTGTATTTTGTTATATATATCTTGTCGTGTATAAGTCTTATTTTTTTATTTATGAGTAACTATTTTGTTAAAAATAAGTTATTAATATTGTTTAATACAATAATTTAAATATTTTATATTTAAATATATTTTAATAATTATTTATTAATTTACTAAAAACTAAGTTTCTGTCTTTACTCAACTAATATTTAAACTTTCTTTTTTTAAATTGAATTTTTATCTAATAATTATATAAATGTTTGTTATAGATTTTATTAATATTTCAGTGATTTTTTTTTAAATTGGTTATGTACAATGTACAGAGTTGAACAAACACAAGTTCAATTTTCAAGTGTAATATTTCTTTCTTAAAATTGTAAACATTTAAATTAATTTTCAAGTAACATTTTTTAAATGAAAAATTAAAACTTTCCTTTTTAATCATATGCAAGTAAAAATTAATCCAAAAGTACTTAAAAGTTGAACTAATGATCTGAATTTTTGGAAATTTCTTATTTGAATAATCTACTTTTTAGACAAAGTCGAATTATATAATATATATAATATTTTACAAAATTGTGCTTTTGAATAAAATGTTATTTTTTTTTAAACCGCAATTGCATTAATTGAAAGTTACTTGAATAATTGATTATTTAGATAGCATTTTATTTGAAGTATAGGGCACAAATGTGTCCATAAAAAAACTGCTCTAAAGAAAAACGGGATTATGAGGCAAAAAAACTGTTAAGATAATTAACTAAAATGTTAAATTGTTATTCAACGTGCTTGCTAAAAAAAAAACACTATTAACCTCGTTAAGTAAAATTCGAATTTAAATACCTGGAAAATGCGGAGCTTAAGCACCCTGACATTTTTTTTCATTGAAGTTGCGCCTATGACTGTTGGACAATAACAATTGATGTCGTGGGTGTATTAAGTGGCACGGGCGCGCCAAAGGGGTGGGACGTTAAGTAAGTATATACCGCTGTAAGTGCATTAGTGTGATTTACACACACACAAGTTGTTGCTAGGCGAGTACTCAGATACAACACATGCCCTGGGCCAAATGCAAAACCTCTTACCGGGCGCATTGACACCGCCACAGCCGTTGGCAGCGTACACACATCGTATGGGACTACTGTACTGCGATCATCGGCTGCATGCAAACGGCCACGCTGCTGTTGCCGGACATCCGGCTGACGCCAGAACCGGTAGCCACGCCGGAGAAGTTCCGGTCCGGACATTGTCACTTGGAACTCACCCCCGTCTGGCAGTACGTGGTCAAGAAGAACCGGTTTCCGTCGCACGTCGACCGGCAAGAAGTGTTCACCGAGCTGGCCGTCAGACTCCAACATCCGGAATGGCAGGTGAGATGGCAATGGATATTAAGAAGCAATCGATTGGGAGCATCAGACACTTTGGAATTAAAATTAGAAGACATAGAAATCATTTAAGAATGTCTGATAGAGTTTTAATAAATTTAGCATCACACTTTCAATGCACTCGAGGCTCATTTTTTTAAAATTTAACACTACACAAAAAACAAAATACTAAATTGATCAGTTGAAAGCGAACTTGCAAATCAACCGATTCCACATGTTCATGAGCGGATGCTAAACAAGGATACTGATTTTATCATAGGATCCTAGAAAAAAATTCGTTTTATTACAAATTTCATTTGTACTTACAAGTATCTAGCCCATTCTAAGTGATAGGACTCATACGAGCAATGCGACTTGTGGCTTGAGAGGTGTTTAAGGTTTTACAGATCATTTAACTGTGATTTGTGACGTGGAAAGCGAAAAGGATCTTTTTTCGGGATTTCTAAAATCGAGTTAGGGCCATTTTCTAAAAAAAAAGATAATTGCGCTTTTAAGTTTAAGCTCAATCGTTCCTCTATTGGAACTTCGCAGTGTCTCGTTAGACTCTTTTTGATTCTCTGATCAAACGCCAGCTTTGTGTCGAGTTCTTGCAAATGTAGAGACAAGAATTGGTTATTATTGTTGAGATATTGGAGAAAGCTTCATTTGACCAGAATCACAGTGTTTTAACCTTTCATACCGAGACGTTGCGTTAGTCAAACCTATTGTAATTCGAATTGCCTCACATTATCCTGGTGGTGCATATATTATACATAATAATTGTATTGCTTTGATATCTATAGGTTAGACTACACGGTTGCCGGGTGCTAGCCTACATCGTGCCTGCGGTGGGTCCACAGTTGGACGCGTTGATGTCGCCTACGGTGCTGCCGATGGTCATCACTAACCTGGCGCACTTTTCGCCAGCCCTCAGGAGCAGCTCCATGGATGCCTTACTGGTGTACGTGCAACACTCTTCAGACCCGGAATTCGTGCTAAAATCAATGATCGTCCAGGGTTTGGACGTGCCCGGCGCCAAGTCAAGTCTTACCGTAAACGTGATGGAGTGTGTCCCGGTGGTGCTGCAGCAGATAGTCAAAAGGAACGGCGATCGACCGGTGAGTATAATAGTATTAGGAAAATAGTATTCCAGCACACCTAGGACCTGGAACAGAACACTTCGGTTCTTTCACCTGCCTTGACTTGCCCATTGCTAAAATTCAAATAATAGTAGATAATTAAAGAGCAAAAAACACTGGTCTATTCAAATGTAATAGTCTCCATCGATTTCGCCATTGCTTTTAGGGTTCCATATTGTTATTGTGTGTATTCCTTTTAGCTTTGTCAAAAATTACTCTCACAGTTTTTTATAGTTCATAAATAGGGTCAACCGACTAGGCACTAGCTCGGAATAATTAAAACGCAACCGTTTGTAGTATACATATTGTGTTAGCTGTATATAGTTACCTTAAGCGATAAAGTTTGTAGATTAACTGATCTAAATAATAATACCCCGTTGTAATGAGGTACCTAAACTTAATTACACTGCCTGATTTTTTTATACTAATTTTCAGATCGCCATCCCCACCTTCGTGCATTTGGTGACCGCTTTGTCAAATAAAATGGTACAAGCGACATTTCAACAAGCCGCCGTCTACTGTCTAGACAGGGTGAAAGATATAGTTGGACGAAACAAATTCGATCATTATCTGGAAACGTTTCATCCTGTGATAAAAAAGGTCAGACTTGTACATGCTTGGGGGGAATTCCCACACCTCTGTAGAAAATTGAGGGGGGGGTTAAAGGAAATTGTGGGAACAATAAGTCCCTTGGTCCCGGCTCCCCCGTTCTACGCCTATGCTATAATAGATAAACCGGATATAAGTGTACTTGTTTACTAGCAGGACTTTGAGGTGCTTTGCGAAGTGTACCGGATATCCTCGTCGTCCGGACAGGATTCTTCGGTGTCGTCGTACGAGGAAGAGGAAGAAGAAGACAACGACGAGGTAGAGATGCCGAAAACCCCAAGGAGAGTGACTTTTGGCGGCGAACGCATCAAGATCCGCAGTCCTGATGAAATCGACATATTAATCAAGCCCACCGGCATCCCGGTACCGCTTCGGCCGGCTCTTAGCATGCCCAAACATCCCAGGGGAGAGGACAGGATACAATCCAAACCAACGCAGCCGCTCGTACCGCCGTCCGTACAGGTGAGATAATATCGCCATTGAATAGTGTTTTATGCCAAGTAGCCAGTAGGTATATTATTATAGCTACTATATTTTATATTGAGAGTACTTGACCGATTTCTATAGATGAGAGCTAAAAATTACTGCAGTTTAGTTATAATTATTTCAGTATTATAAACGAGGCGCCCGGCTTTGGTAAAATCATTGCACTAGTCGAAAAATATGCGATTATACACTTAATTATTTACATAATGATAATTTAAGTATTTTACGTTTCATCAGCAAACATCACCATACATATGGGACTATATATTATTTAAAAGCGAGATGTCAAATTCAGACGGTTAAGTCCATAACTAAAGCTAAATGGAATTTGCATAACCGACTTACATTTATATAAGACCAGGGTACAATATTAAGTTTTTTCGGCTAAAAATATTATTTTATACAAAAATGATATAAAAGATTAAATGAAATAGGTTAAATTAATTCCGTGTATAAATTATAACATATTATATTACATGACTTATAGTCTTAGATGGTCGCTTGGCCTCTTTAACGATGCATAAATAAAAACATACATTTTAAAATAATTATTCTCGAATTAAGCTTTCTCCGCACGATACTTATATATTTTCGTTTTATATTCGAATAGCGTTTTTAAAATATTCTCTTTTAGAATTTTTCACCAGCATTTTGCTTAGCAAAGGGTACGGGGGCCATATTATAGATTCATCAAGCTTGGACACTTCGGTCGGTTGTTACATTGCCCGCTCGGTTTTGCATAATATTCAAATTTAGCATCTATCTACTGCAAAATGCGTCACCGCTGTGTACGTTCGCAACACTACTTAAGTAGTAGGTACGCCTTTAGTCACGGCAACACATGCTTTACTGAAAAGTGAACAAAGAATAAAAAAATATACAAAAAGATCCATATCGTCCGGGGGTCATTTCCGGCCTGGCAAGAATAAAGCAACTAGGTCGAAGTCAACGCACAGTGTTGTAGTCACGAAACCCTTTCGAATTAGGTTAAATAATTAGCATTTTCAAGCGCCCCCATATTGCTGCGGTTGTTTACTCTGGTGTCACAATAATAATATTAATGGCAGTTAATTAGTTAGATCCACTAAATTCGCTTTGAACTACATTATTTGGGTCATGTATTCTGCCCTTATGGTCTTTTAATGTGTCATTCAACATCTCCTTCAATTATTGTCTTTTGTAAGCTTTCGTGTCTTAATATGTGTCCTACCATCTTATCTCTTCTGGATTGAATACTTTCCCATAACTGTGTCTTCGTTTGTCACCCTCTCGGTCCAGGGTATCTTAAGCATTTTCCTGAAGCACCACATCTCAAAGACTTTGTCCAGGTTTCGGATCTAAAGAGCGCCACACACCATTTATAACTTTTCAGGAATTTCTTCCTTATTGTCAGGCTGACTTTTATCTTGAAAGGTTCTTTTCACTTGTGCTATCCTACAGGTATTCCTAGGCTCCCTAGGTATGTAAATTATTGTACTTGTCTTATTTGTTAATTGTCTACATATATTTATGTTGAGTCGGACGGGGTTAGTCTTACTGCATACCACAACTTTTGTTTTCGAATTTTACAATGCTATGTCGTCCGCAAATCTTAAGACAGTAACCGTTTCTTCTCAAATTCCTTTCTGTATTTCTGCTCTCAGAGCAAACGTTAAGATTTGACTCTTATTCTAATTGTTTATTAGGTTTTAAGTCCCAATAATCATCTATATAATTTATGTTTAAAGGTAATTTATTGACAGAACCCAAGAAGGGTGTTGAGACATCTTGTGTTTCTTGTGATTTCCTGTTATACAATAAGTAAACGCATATACCTATTGAAATTGTATTTCCAAACGAATAGAATTGACTGTCATGCGATTTATGAAATTATCGCCTCAATTATACCACTCAAAATAGGTTTTCTTTTCAAGGCGACAAATAAAACAAAAATTATCAAGTTGTGCCATGACTTGAGCTACCGATTTATACAATTAATAATAGTAACTAACAATTTTAACTCTTATTGTATATAATATAGTGCGTATGAATGAAGCACGATACGTATAGGGAAAATTAAGTGTCAATGAAAAAAAAAAAAAGGAGGGTTTCTGACAGAAAATCTATAAAACACCTATACATTTGCGGACGAACGTTTTATACGGGGTTAACGATCCTAATTTTTGTATTTTTTTCCACATGCTGTAAAGCTATTATCTAGGTTAATTGTGTATTAACTATTTTTTTTTTTATATAACAAAATTACTCTTTTTTTTTTTTATTAGACCACACGAAACGTCCGACATTTTAGTAATTTTCTCAATCACGACCGACAAGTCGACCAAGTCAGACCGTATACGCTTCCGCCTCTGAGACAGTCAAGTATATATACCTACCTATATGTACTTAAATTTGAAGCGTTTCTTAAAACCATATACCTAACTTACACAAATTGTGTTTTCAGATTTTAAACAATTCTCAAGTTCTCGGATAGGACCGTTGTTAGGGACGCCGCCCAAAGGAAATTTGAACGATAGGTATGGTTGACAACAAGTCGAAACGAATATTTGTGTAATTTAACAATATCCTGTGTGTTTGTCATTTTTTTTAGAATATTGTTTTATAAAGGATATTTTTCCCCGCACGCGATTCTCTCTGTCGGAAGAACCTGTGATTCGTTCGATGTTAGTAAAAAAAACTATTATTATACTTAATAATAATTTATTAATCATAATAATTGCTCACATATCGATTGTGGATTTTGTTATTAAAAAAAAAAAACACTGCCGTGAGAGAATGTTACACGCTGTTATATAAATTTGTATTCCTCCATCAATAAGGTCGAAGCGAAAATTGTAAATAACACATCAACAATTTTGTCTTTTGAAAACAATAAAATAAAATGCAAGCCTTACTAAGCTTTCACTTGTTTATTAGTACACATACAGTTTGGACAACAGTGACAACCTTTGTTGTGGGCATTTTGCACGTTGACTCTATTTAACTAATTTCAGAGGACTCTTCTTTTAAAATACCATTATATTTTTATTCAAGACGTCATTATAATGTCCATACCTATATATTTGTTCTTAAAGGTTGCTTTTGTAATAATCGTCTCGAAAACATTTTTTTTTGTTTTAGAAAAAGTATGAAAATCTAAACGAGATGAAAATGGACACAACGCCCAAAAAGTATGTATTTTATATTCATCTCAATTTATTAAACTATGTAGACATTTAGAATAACCACCGTGGACGTCCTGAAGTTTTTTAGGTCTATAATCTATACATAGGATTAATTCCAAAAAAAAAAAAGGAATTTAAACCTAGACGATTTTTATAACAAGACCCAGTACTTGTTGTGATAAATTATTTATATTTTATGCTAGCATTATGGAAAGACATTTGATTGAATATTTAAATGTCTAGGTTCAGCCACACCTCTTCAGTTTTTTTATAAAGTGGAAGAGGCGGGCAAAATCCCAATAGATTAATTTGTTCACTACCAAGTAATTTTACCAAAGAGTTTTTTGAAATGTTACCTTATTTATCAAAAATAAGAATACTATACACAAATTTGAATTGACAATTATTAACATGCCAGCAAGGTATAGAAAAAAAAATACTTTGGTTAGGTCAGGTTTTAAGTATTGCCTTTGAGTCTGCTTAGTCCATCAATACCTAATATTTCAGAAATTCTAAGTATAAAACCAGCAAATATGTATAAATATTGAACACCAACATTTTTTAGTGTTATGTTTGCGGTGTCAAGAATAAAACTTTTAAAGGTAGTTTGAAGTAAAAAGGATTTTTTATAGGAAGGGTGCCACCTAATTTATAATAAAAAAAATGATAATAATACTATTTTCAAGTCTTGACAAATTTGGTCATTTTCATTTTAAATAGTTCTATAAAAATAAATAATGCAAAGAAATAATTTTAAAGTATAAAACCTAAGAATTGCGGCAGATGTAAAATTAAAACCGATTTTTCAGACATTTGCCAATTGCCTATTATTAAGTGTTTTGTTTTTGAAACCAATTTTAGTACCGATCCTGTATTTTATCAAAAGCTTTAGGTATATCAACGACTAAAAATGTTCTCGTTTTATATATTTTATTGCTTTTGATATTTATCACATTATTTGTGCTAGCAATGATATGGAAGTGAGTTTTGAATAATTTAAGACATTAATTTGGATACTTGAGACCTAAATGATCCTACTATGTTCTTAGATGTTAAGTTAGTGTAACACTTTAAAATTAAAATATTACAATTTTTTTTTTTGGCGTTGGCGAGTGTTAAATTAATTTTTTCCTCTTAGCAAAAACTATATTACTAATGGCATACGATTTTGGATTTATGTAACATAAAAGTGTTCAAATATAATTAAAATAATAAAGTATTCTGAAACATAATAATTCTATAGTGGCAAATCTATACAATTTTAATTCAATAGATATTTGAATCGTATAATTTATGATACTACATTAATATTTCTTAGGCTTGAAAAAGGTATACTAACGTGTGAATGTTATAAGCAAAAATATAGGTAACAAAATTGTAAAAATATATATTTTTCAAAATAACAAAAACATATTACGTTTACAATGAAATGTCTTCATCGACATACTTGACTCTCCATCTGTACTTTTGTTTCAACTCTGGCCATTGAACAATAATTAAATCAGCAAAAAAACACATTATTTTTCCGGTCAGAGATAATGTTTTAACACGACAGATACTTTCCACAAAGACGATAGAGGTGTCCGTGTAATGAAATAATCTCATAACAAATCCAACTAGACATACTGGAACACACGTGCCAGGACCATTGCACAATATTAAGTCGGGTTTAAAAGAGATGACAACTGGAATAGTCATGACTATTGAATAAAGTGTGGACACTACTGACGATGAATACGACTGATTTACATGTCTAGACCGTGGTATTACAGCTGTAGTCCAGTCTGTCCCGTTTTCTTCTTTTTCTAAGCGTACTTGGCTAGTTGTGTCTGTGTCAGCCAACACGTACAAGCGTGGTGTAAATTTTTGTTTATTCAAGTGCTTCATTAGGCGTAACATTTCAGATGTATGCCCACCCGAACCGATTACTATTAGTGTACGTAAAGGTTGTTTTCTCATTCTGACATTGCATTTGCCGGTTAGTAGTTGCATAATCATGAAGATAAGACGAGCCGAGAAATAAGCCGACAATATTGCTATCACCAGCAAGTACCACATACATAACGTGTACATAATGATCAATGTCAGTTTAATAATAGGTACTTACAATATATATTTTAGGATAATTTGTTCTTGATGACCATTATCAACATTTTTATAACTCAAAATATCGTTAATGTAATATAGACACATACACAGACGCGTTTAAAGACAACAAATAATTTAAATAAAATATATGTCCACAATTAATAAACCGTTTAACGTTTTGTAAATTAATTTTTTCAAATACAATTCATTTTAATTTCTACAAAGTTTAAACGTACAATTTGTTATCAAAAAAGCGAATAATTGTGTTATATTTTAACAATGATAACAACGATGTGATAAGATTTCTGTGATAACGTTACTATAGTATTAATATTATGTAAACATTTCGAATCAGCTGATCTAGGTAGCAATGTCGTCTTGCAAAGCCAAGTGCCGACTACTTAGGCTCGATAATAGCAATATAAAATTTAGACATCTTCATCGCTCAAACAAAAAAAATGTATCAAAATCGGACCGGTTTACTATGAGTGAGATTATTTAGATCTCAAGCCAAACGGGTTAAAGATAGTGCCCTGAAGCTTATACGAATTATCCGGAGAATAAATTTATTGATTTAATCGAAAATGATTAAGAACGTTTCATTCAAAATGTTGCCTATATTTTGGCCCTTAAGGGGCCTCTACACTAGCATTTATTAAGGCGCATTGCATAGACAATTTTTCGCTAAAACTTTAACATTAAGCTAAAATGTTTAAACATACACATTACCATAGGAAAGAAATATCTATTTTGATAATACTTTTTTTTTTCAACTTTTATAACGCATATAGGATCTATTTTTGTAAAAAAAAAACCACATGTTTCTACTTCAAACATTTGAATTCTTCACACCATTTTCAAGGCACTGTCGTGGCACAATTTTGAAATTATTTAGTCAATGTAAAAAAATGCAATTTTTAACTCTGTTCAACTGAACTAATTAACCAACTGAAAATAATTTCTAAAATTGTGCCACGACCGATGCCTTGGAAATGTATATTATAATTGTTAACTCTATTGTATATATTATATGATTCTACTTGCACGGTGCAGATACATTTGCGTGGTACTATCGTGGGCGGCGGTCATAGTATATAACATTGCTGGTGTATACGCAGAGGGCGGGGGAGGGGAGGTGTAGGTCAAAGTATATAGCCTGCGATAACATCAACAAGTATTATTATTTCCTACTATATGCTAAAGGGGTAGGTAGTTATTGTAGTCACCATGCCGACTGACCTTATTTCCTATCGTATACCCGTACAGGAGTACTTGACCAATCGCAGGTAGAATCAATCGTTATAATATAGCCTGGCGGACACCGTCCACTCGCCGTGTGTGACGCATATTACCATTACTATTATTGTATGCATTTGAAACAGAGCTCGCAGTAGGGCACACAGCTGTTTCTCCAATAGTAGGATGCCTCTTCGGTGACCGTTTCAGTGGGTTTTTTTCAGCGGCATTCGCCGTTAAAGGCGCGCGTGCCGTCGGGTCGACGATAAATGATAAATGATAAATATGCTGCGGTCGTGTTTTCGGTGTTGTCGGCCCGGCAAACGTTCGTCTTCGTCCGGTCCTTGTCCGGCAAACGACCAACAACAACCGAACGGACTGGCCAAACGCCACTACCGGTTCCACACGGCCGTCGTGGGTCACCGTCAGAGGCGCGGCGGTTCGAAAAACCGTAGGAAAAAATTCAACCACACCATGTTCGTCGTGCCCGGCCGCGTGCAGCTGTCCACGGCCAATTACAGTACCGTACCCGTTTCAGTAATCGAGTAAGACCTCAAAAAAGTCATCCACCCCCCCGCCACCCACCCTACAGTGTCCCATTAAAGGTGGTATGTTTACCAACCCTGGGTAAAAGAAATTTGGTTAATTTGGTACCTCCTCTACTTTGTATCAAATTTGACCTGCCTACTTTAAGTTTAATCACTGGCGTATACTGTTGTTTGGGGAATGTGACACCCCCCTATGACCGCGTGTCGTATATACTTTAAAAAATTATCAAGTATAAGGCGGTTAATAGTGTAAGGTGGATTTAGCGAATGTTTATATAAAAACTGTTTTTTGTAAATACACTTATACATTATATTTAAAAAATATTCTACATACAATACTCATGAACACAGTTATTATATAATATGACACCCCCTTATAAAAAATCATAGTTACGCCACTAAGTTTGATATTTAGACTTTCGTTCAAACAATATAAATAAAGAAAAGTGAAAACAATTTAGTTGCAAACCTTATTGCACAGGGTTACTTAATTGGTTGTGAAATACTAAGGCCGGTAGATCAATAAAACATATTCCATCAATATTGATCGTATCGACTACATAATGTCCTAGTTTTTGCTAAAAATATGAACTCTAAAATGTATATTGAACGGTCGAGCATGGAATTTATTTCTACAACAGCTGCAGATGTTTTGTTCAGTGTAAACATATTTCCTTTTTTTTCTGGAAAAAATACGATTTTCTGTTGTTTTAAAATTATTAGACGTTAATGCATTTTCATCATTCATTGCGTTTTATATTTGAGTCATTATAATGCTTTCCGTTCAAGTTATTAGACAAGTGACAACATATACAATCTTCATCAATTACACAAATTATACATCAGTTTTATATGTTTTGTGCCAAACATGTCTGTTTTGAAATCAGGGCTACACGAATGACTCAATCGTACCAAGGAAGAGCGCAGGTGTAAATTATAAAAATGGCTATTTTTATGATAGGCGTTGTACGGCTTGTAATTTTACTATTTACTAAAATCCAAAAAAAAAATACTTACAAGAAAGACTTCAAATGGTACCAATGGCACACAAATTAAAACTGAACATGCAATTTTTAACAAGGACGTTTTGTACAGAAAACAGTACATTATGTCAAAGTTGATAATAGCGACGCAACCGATTTAAGTAATTGTTGCCTATTTTATATTGTGAGAATTAAAATCCTACCAATTTTTTAAAACAATTTTGATCAGCGAGCCAAATACCTATTTGGGTCGCATTAAGTCTGATTTAGATAACAAACAATTTACAATACAAGAATACAGTAGAGAGACATCCAATTTAGACTCCTGAGTCCTGATAGTGTTCTCTTGGAGACGTGTTGTCGCTATTTAGGTATTAATCATTTAGGTCTCATTGATCTAATGATTTAGATATCATTGATAACTTTTCATTGTATAACGTTATATGTACCTATTATAATGACATTGTTCAAATTTTACAGCCTCGAATCCCCAGCCAAATTGACCAGGCCCACGTTCTGCATGACTGTAGTGCCGGAGAGTAGAATAGAAAAACCTTCGGTGGAAACGGCCGCTGTTCCTGCAAAAGAAAATCAAAATAAAACTCACAATCAGACGACGTTGATCGCAGATGATCTATCCACGGCTAATCCGGATCACCACGTGGACATTGTCACTGTCATGCCGGTCTACAGGCGACAGGTGGTCGACCCGGATGACCGTCTTAGAGGATTTCTGAACGAGACCAAATCTTTGTCACAGACTACCGTGGCCGCGAAACCGGCTCCCAACGTCCAATTATACACCACCACCGTAGATAATATAAGACCCCAAAATTGCAACGAGTAAGCATAATATCATATCTTTTAATTAACATATGGGATCGGACAAACTATAATATTATATATACATAAGCCTTTTTCGATAAAAAAATATTGTTTTCGCACTGTCCAACCCTAAGGAGGCATGTCCATAATATGGCCACAAAGAAAACCAAAAAAAAAACTTGAATTCGTTTGAGGGGGTTCAGCCCTTGGATAAGTTTCCCATTTAATTTTTTTTTATGAATTACTCATTCAATTTTCCAGCAATCGACTTTGTCCCGTTGTAAAGCTGATGAGTTTAGCTTGAAATATTATTTATTGGGGCAAAATGCCTAATTTTATCACCGTTAACTAAAAATTAAGATAGTTTCAAAGGGGTGCGCTTTGGCTATGATAACTTTTAATCACTTTGTATCGTTTTCATTCAGTAGAGGATAGATGTTATTTAAGTGGTCCGTTTTGCCGCATTTTCAATAAGACTTGTGCAAAGTTGATTGCCTAAAAATTAAAAGAGATATTTATAAAAAAAATACTAAAACATATTACGCTTAACCACCTCAAACATTTTTTTTGGGGTAAGTACCTACTTTTGTAATCATATTATGAACACGCTCTAAGATGGACAACACGAGAAAAAAAATGTTTCAAATAATAATAATAAACAAATATAATTTGTATACAGCGTGGTGTTTTGCTATGACTAGTCACAAGAATCGACCCCCAACCCTTGATGACCTACTTAAGGAATGAATTGACATTGAATTGTATATTAATTAAACATTGTTATTATAATGTATATATAGTAAACCCGTGGCCGAAGTCAAGCCGACGAAGACTATGAAGACATTAGCGGTAAGGAGAAAATCTGCTGTGAAATTGCCAAACAAAATTGACAGAAGACCAAATAGCGAGCCGGGGCCCAACTTTACCCCGTTCGACGACCCTCACAAGGCTCTCCAGTTGATTATTCCTCAAATCAACAGCACCGAATGGTATTGGTTACATTGTATTTTTTTTTATTACAATCATAGCTTTAAGATTAGTATGCTATAGTATACTCTGTGTGAGTACCAAATAAAGATATGGTAGACTAGGTAGATAGGTATTAGGTTTTGTACAGTGAATTAAAAAACAAATGTTTTCAAAAGAAAATTTCAATTATTTTCTGAGAGCAAAGTGAGTGTTTTTCTTTCCTTTTTTTTTTATGTACCACACTGTGTATTCTTATAGATTCAGTATGGATTAAATTTTGTTTTATTGCCTAATGTGATTTGCAATAATATTTATAGGGAAGCTGCCGTTACCGGTTTACAGAACATTTCCCGGTTGGCCATTTTCCACGGTAAGGAGTTACGACCGAGCGCTTTGCAGCCATACGGTCGCATAATTGCCAAACACATACGGTGTCTTCGGTCACAAGTGGCTCGAGCCGCCTGTACGGCTACAGAGAAAATGTTTACCCATGTGCCCAAGTCGGTGGAGCCAGTAAGTACCTAAGTACATTTAAAAAAAAAAATCAAGTAAATCCAAGTTTGAAAATATGTAACTATTACTTTATTTTAGGATATCGAAGAAATAGCGTCGGCTCTATTTCCTCGAACTGCCGATACAAACAAATTCTTGAGAACGCAGAGTTTGGATGCACTCAACGCAATGGTAGACAACGTAAACCCATGTAAATGTGTATTGGTAATAACGACTAGAGGCGTTAAGTGAGTAGTGTCATAGGCTGCTAAGTCATTAGAAACACATATTTAGGTACTAATAACATGTATGTGTTGTAATAAATTTAATTAATTAGGCATGGAAACCGCTTGGTTCGTGCCGAAGCGTGCAACCTCTTGGCCAAAATAGTCGATAAGCTTGGTGTAAACGGAACTCTCCATTTACCGACGGAAGCACGCGACGCTGTGATAACCGCTGCTACTAGTTTAGTGATTGACAATACGCCCACTTCTCGGTAAATAATATTACATTCCGGTAGGTCAGCAGAAGTCATTAACTAATCCGCGTGTCCAACAGGCAAGCAGCTCAACATATACTAGCCAAGTTGAGTGAAGATCCGAGAGGTGCTGCGCTCATATCGTCAGCTGCATCGCCAAACGTTAAAGCGACGTTAAATAAATCTTTGTCGAGGATATTTCTCAAATGAAATATTATACCTTTGATCAATGCATTTATTTGAATACTACAAAATCGAAAATCAATATACAAATAATCATGTATCAATATGTTTTTTACATAATGTTAATTAAAATACTTTATTTATACATAATTTAATCATGACGTGCTCTATCATAATCAGAAAACAATTTCTACTCCAAAATAAAAGATTAAATTCAATTTTCAAATGGCATAGGCTAAAACGTTTAATAGTACGAGGAACACAACGAAATCTTATGAATAACAGCAGCAGCAGCAGCAGTAGTAATAGATTGATATAATAAGAAAAAATAAAATAAAATATAAAATAATAGTAAGTACAAAATATTATCCACAATAATTTACCTAATTAAATTAATTTAAAGAATATTTTAAGTAATATATTAAGAACAAAACTATTACAATTAAATATGACTATTGCAATTTCGATCGTTCAATGGCTGTGTTATGGTCGTCCTGAAAGAAAACAAATTAAAATTAATTGTTTTAAATTGGTTTTTGTAAACGTCAAAACTAATATCATTCGCTTTGTCTTTAAGCTCACTTCGTTATAATCCAAAATTGGGACCGTCCTAAATGAAAAAAAAAAAATTGTTATCAACAAAGTAAAAAAAGAAAAATTATGTGTTGTTTTCAACATACGTTTCATATAATGAACCAGGTATGTTTTCTTCTACCCATTTTAAATCATCGTCCTGTTAAAAAAAAAAAGTATTTTCAACGGTTTATGTTTATTATTTATTTTATTTAACATATTATTAATGGTTGTATGATACTTACAAGCTGTGTTTGGCTCTTGGTGCTACTTCCGTTTGAAGCAGGATAGTCTTTGTATGGTGTCACTTGTGCGTTTTGATTTGGTCCATTCATCGCAGTTCTCATTTTAACATCTAAAATGTTCATGCATTTTAAAGTACTTTTTTATCTATCAGTTATATATTATTCAAATTAGATTTTGTTTACCATTATATGTGTCTTTTATGAATAGTTCAGTTTCATCCCTATCGTCATCTGGCGCATCTAACAAAGGAGTAAATGCGTACCTGAAAATAAAATAGATTACATAATAATTCAATGGGAAATTCTGCTAGCAATCTTTAACCAATGAAATTATTTACCTTTGGTTATTGTTGGTAGGCCTCCACAGTATCATTATCACACATAAAATGATAGAAAATTCAATATGCCAGAAAGCGTCATCCAACCATTGTTCCCTCCAGTGCTAAAATATTATTTATTATACATAAGTAAACAATATAATTTAAACTTATAAGTATGAACCAGGACAAGTACGTTGACAGTCAAAGTGGTAAATAGAACAATTTGCCGCTGAAATCTTCTTACTATAAAATTTTAAGTTTTTAAGACTTACCCTATCACAATTAGTCAAACGTTGTGTTTTAATAGAATATAACATGAACATTGTAGAGGTTACAATAGTAAAGGCCAAAACGTTTGTGAAATGAGTATACAATTGGAGTTTCACAGCATTCCTTTGAAAAAACAACGCACACAGTTAGGAGTATAAAAATGAAAAACACAATAATATTTTAATACGCATACCTCCGAAGACGAAGTGCTCTAGTTGTCTGAGTTAAGGCTGAAAATATCCAACACAAAATACCGGAATCTAACGTGGCTAGTGGCAATTCGACCAACAATAATTCTGCGCTCATGTGACTCGAAAGGCGGAAATACGACTCCAGTAATGACATGGCCAGATATATGGAACTAACACCCAACACTTTAGGTAGTAGCGGTCCTAATCTTGGCCTGAAACGACGGAAAACAAATTTATACTTTATTCATGTACTGACGCGATTGAAAACAATTTGTATAATTACTTGACAATACCAAATCCTAAGCTAACAATGATTACTAATATTCTGGCTAGGGTTCGTTTCAAGCATGAGATCACTTCGGCCATAGCCATCACTCCGTAGATGCTACTCACATCACCGGTTATATTTAGTTCATAGTATTCAGCGTAGAAAGCTGCTTTCTCAATCATTCCTAAAATATTTTAGACATGACGTATTGGACACCATATTTCAGTATTTAGATTGTAGAAGATATAATATTTTTCCATACCTAATAGAATGACAGCTCCAATCCAAAATTGTATCTGAAGTAAATCTCTCCATTGTAGAAATAGTAGCACCAACCAAGTTATGCCAAAACAGATGTATATGAAACACATTATTTCATAAAACTGAAAACAAAGATAAACGTCTAATGATATTTGTAAAGGAATTGTACGAGTAATAGTATACTCACAGGTAATAATGGCCAATTTGTCGCAGATAAGTATCCTTGAGGACCTCGCATATAAACGTTTAAGCCGTAAGTGAATTTACTTATATCAATATCCCGATCATTATCAGGAACCTGAAGTGTAACTGTCACAGTAAGTAAATACATACCTTCTTTGGTAATAGTATACACGGGGTGCTTTCCATTCTTGAAAAAATAGAAAAAGAAAAATGTAAACATTTTATTCTATCACTTTAAAACATGAATACTCACATTGTGCGTAGGTACCGATTTGGAAGTATTTTCCAAATGTATTGATTTATCAGGCTAGAAAAAACAAAAGATTTGAACAAATTAATAGAAAATACATTTTTTTCTTCTTCATTTTTCTGTACAAATTTACTTACTAAATCGATACCAGAAGAACAGGAGTATACCTGGTCATCGAATTTCATGTAATTCAAGTTGGTAGTATTCGATTTTAAATCACTCTCAATATATTTTAACTGGAGTTGTTTGATCAACTAAATAATAAATGAAATGTATTAATTGTTATTAATTTTGTATTAAAATAATAGCTTAGACGACTATTTATGACGTATTTTATTAGATAACTGACCCCATGACCCAAGTCTTCGTATTCGCTCCAACAATTAGGTTCCGTCAAGATCCAGCCAACAGAGACATTGAATGGATCGTCGCAGTGTACTAATTCAACAGAAAAGCAAAGTTTTATTTTTCCTAGAATATTTTACATAAGATTTTAATTGTATTTACCATTGATGAATATTTTGGTGCCATTAAATAGACTGCTGCTAAAACTGTATGTATCGTAATCCTATGAACAAAAAAAAAGATTATGAAAAAATTCAGCAGCTCAAGCTTAAATTTGTACGTATATATATATATACTTAAATAGGGTAAAAACGATGAAAAGGAATCTTAGATGTTACCAGAGGAAGGAGAAAAGGCATTGGAGGCGCCACGAATACAGACTAATAATTGTACACAGGCAGTAAGATAGTAACGGGTCACAAATACTTATATCTGTGTTGACTAGAAACCAATGATGTATCCTGTTAAATATTTTAGCCATATCAGTATAGATTAAGGCACTTGGCTGTGCTCAATAAAGGAATCATTTTATGTACAAAGACAAATTACACGTGGTCGATGAACGTGGTTGGAAGACAGCCTATTTCTTTTGAGCTATTTTCATCATTATGTGTAACAGTAGTGGAATTGCAAGGGGAAAGACGATTTTTTACAGCCAAACGTCCAAGAGAAGCAAAGATCGAGAGAAAGCTTCTCTTTCAGTGCGAGCGATACAATCGCCATAGCACCGATTTATTCGTCTATCGAGGAAGGAGAGGATTTGTTATCGGAATGAGGGTGATTTTTCTTGAAAGTTAGATTATTTTTTTAACTCACAGATGAACCAGGATGAGCCTGAAGGATAATAAAATTAAGAAAACATAATAGTTAATATGGTTGGACCTACGGGATCTGGGACGAGAACCCATCCTCCATCTTCAGGCCTGACGGCGTGGCATGTAAACGTTAAGTAAGCAAAACACAACAAATAGAACACGCCATTTGACAACATTTGAATTAAATAACAAAAAACAATGCCGCAATATGACAATTTATCGGTTGTAAAACTTTTGCACGCACATTTCTTTCGCTTTACCGTTCACAAATACCGAATTTTATGATGCGTTTTCCTATGAGTTTAGCTGTTGGGTAAATAAAATAATGCTTATCAGTACTGATAACGCATTGGTAGCCAAAATGTCAGCTGTCGGCGACGTGCATGCCCGAGTTCCCGCTATAATTTTTTTTTTAAAGTTTACCAACAACATTATTAATTGGTTATTTATTTATTTGTTACTACTAATAATAATTTACAGCAATATAAGATAATGTAACCGCCCATCGGGCTCAAGTACAGCAATAAAGTAAACGACTTGGTTAAGAAAATTTCACAAATTATACATCATGTGAGAGTATATTTTTCCAATAGGTATGAAAAGGGGGGGAAACACAATGAATACTAAATTAAGTATTATTAGAAAAAAATTATTAAGTGCTTTAGGGATGGTAGATTACCTTTGTAATCAACGATATTAGAATTACGATATTTTTTATTATGTTACATGTATGGGAAATTCTGTCTATAGGGTGATTAGATGGTTGCTTAACCATGCGACGAATAACTAAACTGTGCAAAACATAGACCGAAGCCAGTTAGATTGGAACGGCTGAAGAATTATTGAGGCACAAGGAATGAAATATTCTGTATTTGGACATGAAATGAAAGATACTTTGGTAAACTTAAGACAGTAGGACAAAGATTGAAAGTTCAGGTTGGACTGGATATTAAAAACAGGAATACACCAGTAATTACTACTAGTACACTATTTAGACCCAACGTAACAATTAAAGCTTCTCAGAACTTTTTCAAGTGACTCTGTTGGTCCTTGATTGTAATATACCTATTGTTACATTATTTTGAATAACAACATGTCGATATTGCAAAATCAGCTCGAGCTGAAACGTTGCGTATTTAGTATGATTGTTTGTGTTTGACATTTGAAAAAAACATGCTTTAAACATTGTCAGCAATACTGAATTAAAAGCCATTTAAAAAAAAATGTTTTATTGTTTGTTTTTTTTCTTCCTGATACCTGAAATTATTATTTTGTAAAAGAATGTCTTTAGTGGTATTTGGTTATTTGAAGTGTGGGAAATGGTATATTAATGAACACACGAGTCCTCACATTTTTGACCATGATTGTTTGTATTTGAATATATTATTGTCAAACAACATAAAAGAATTATTCTTTCAAACGTCAGGACCTTGATGGAAATTTAAATATAATTTTAATTTACTAGTATAAATACAACAACAAAGTTCAACACATACTTTTTATATTTAATAAAAATAATAATTTAGCTCATATAAAATGCGTAAACATAAAATTACACGGAAACGTGAAAGGCGTTATTAATAACATAAAGTATGTACTACCTTAGGATATTTCATATTTATAAAAAAAAAAAAAATTAAATTTTAAGTTGTCAAACTCTTAATATTATACTAAGAAAAATTAGCCATTGGATCATCATCTCTTCGTTTTTTCATGTGGTATGCTTCAACTTCTTCATCGGTAGGTTTGGAAACTTCATACATGCTATTGTAGGGGCGTTTTCTCTCATCCATTTTCATAATTCGGTCCACCTCTTTTAAACGTTCTTCTTCTTTTTCTACAGCTTTTTTTAGTGCATCTTTAATTTCTTTTTTCGACTTCTTCTTCTTCTTTTTTTTCTTCTTGTCTTTTTTGTTCTTTTTCTTTTTTGACTTTTCTTTTACTTTCTCTTCCGATTCAAATGCTGATGATGATGACGACGGCGATGATGAACCAACAGACGATAGCTTACTTGTTGATTCATTTGCTTTATAACTCGTTTCCGGAATATCGTTTTCAACAACTGGCACTATTTTGCCCAATTCTGGTACACTTTTGGCCAACTCGATGCCGACCGTGCCTGTGCAATAAGAATTTTGCACCAGAGATCGACAACATTTGTAACCCCATTCACCAGCTTCCCAGTACGATCCCCACACGGACGTGTGATTTGACGGATATACATCTTCTTCATAACGAGAACGTACAGCACCTTTGTTTTCTCCCTACAAAAATTATTAGTTTATTAATATTACAGTTAATGAATATTAATATTTAATTTAATAGTTAAATGTTAACATTTATCCTAAACAATTATTCTAATTTTGACAATACCTTTATGATATCCCCTCTTCTTGAGTACTCGACGTATTCTTCTGTTTGTGCTAGTAATAGTTGTACAGGTGGAGTTTGCAAGTGTTCTTCTCCGCCGTATTTAGCTAGAACAGTATTTTCAGTCTTCTTCTTAAAATGATCTCTATGCGTTTCATACTCTTTCTTTAATTGTTCCAATTTTGTGGGTTCGGCCAATAGATGTACATCAACACCACGTTCATAAGCTTCCCATGCGAACAATTGAGCTTGTGCATGTTTTGTAGTATCACCAGAGTATCGCACAAAGTTTTCACCAGCATATTCGACTCTAAAATGGAATAATAATAATTATTATACATAATAATAATTAATATATTGTACAAATAGACAAAATGTGCTTACTGTTCTGGGTCTTCACCGGGCTTATGAGGATTGTCTCTCATTGCTCTCGTTTTAGGGTCATAATATGCCGATGACAAATCTAAGTTTCTAAGATATTTTGCTGTATCTTCTCTGATTCTTAAATTTCGTACGGTAATACGTTGTTTACTGTCTACTTTTGTACCAGGCATATCAAAATCATCTACATATTTGTCTTCATCATCTTCATCGGCTGAACTATTATCCTTAAACAAAATAGAGATAAAATTAATAAGTGAACAAGAATAATATTGATGTTTCGATAATTTTTAATACATACTTTTCCTTTTTCGTCATCGTTTAGTTTCTGTGCGCGAAGTTCTCTTTTGGCTTCCTCGATTTTTTGGTATTGATCAATGATAGTTTTGTGTTGTGACGGGTCGTAACCTGCCCAACGATCACGTTTGCCATCAAAATCTTGATTCAGTGTTGGCTGTAAGTGTTCATCTGGTGCAATGTTCATGTTACTGTAGGCCGCTCCAACTTTACGAGGCCTCTCAAAACAGTCTTTTTTCTTATGTGTCATTGCACCACAATTTTCACAAGCACCTTTACGGAATTTGGTACTTATGGATTCCTTGAAAATAATAATATTTGTTACTAAAATACCTAAATGATTAATACATCGACTGTAGACACTTACTGTATTAACACCCCTTTTGTACCATTCATTCAAACTAGAATACTCCTCTTGTTTGTTGGGCACACGTTGATGTTTGAGTGTAGGACCTGCGGTACCGTAATACCAAGGTGCAGATGATATGTATTGAGGGATATGTGGATTGATGTCTTTTCCTTCCTCATCAACAGCTGCCGGAGCTGTTCCGGCCTATACAATGTTTTATTAAGTTAATTCCCATAAAAATGATCGCATACTTTATTTTCAATGTAAAATATATATTATACTTACTTTTCGCGCCTCGTCTAATTCTTTAGCTTTTCGCCAATCTTCGCGAGACTTTTTTTTCGGCTCTTCTTCATCTTCGATTTTGGACTTTAAAACGTCTGATATTGTAGCCATTATTATCAAGTATAAACAACAGTGTTTTTGTAATAATAATTTTAACTGTTGATCTTGACTTAGGTAATCGCAAGCATTCGTATTTGTGTTAAATGTTTATCACGTTAACACGGTGTCTTATCACTTAAAACTTTTTATCATTATCTTAACATTTTATCAATGTTTAAAATTATATCATGGAAGAAAAAACGTTTTTTGTTTAAACGCTATATTGAAATCGCGTTTAAAGATAACATTTATTATACAGGACGAATATTATGAGAAGAGCGTTGAGTCATAAAAATATGGAATTCTATACAAATAAACCACTTTCATAATAAATGGCCAATTATTATTTATTAGACATCAATTATTAGCAAATAAATTCATGTAATTTACTATAAAGAAAAAAAAATGGACTGATATTTCATGGCAATTTGTAGAAATAATTGAACACACCACGGGTACTGTGTTTGTACTCGGCTAATTTCATATTTTCGTATAAAATTAAAAGATGTAATCTACAATCTATTTGACCGGTAATCAAATTTTGAGTAATCACCAAACATGTACAGTGTACTCTGATCTAACTTTTTATTAAATGGTAGGTAAGCCAAATTTTCGGTTCAACCTGTATTCAAAGTAGCATGGGTTTAGGGTATGTACCAAAAATTTAAGTAAAATTTAGGTAAAAAGATGTCTCAGTATCTAAGATCAGCAACTGTTTCAAACAGTAAGGAAACTCTCTAAACAGTTTTAGATTTTATATGTTTAAAAAATCCAATATTTAAAAAAAAATAGATCAAGTTTATTTCTTTCATGATATTAATTAGTCAGATGTGCCCGCTATTAAACAATCTACACTTAATGTTAAAAAAATTTTCAGCTTTTTCTTCAATAGTATAAATTATGTTTGATGTAAATGTAACGCCAGTTGTATTTAATACAATAGACCTACCTAACTATATATCTACCTGTACAATTTACCATTAAGTTATTAAAAACTAGATAGACATACCTATAAGAATTAATTAAAACTACATAAAGAAGTGTAAACACCTTAACATCACAGTTTTCCCGTGGTTTAGCATTGTTTTGAAAATAAGTTGTATGTATGAGAGGTTGTTCAAAGACAAACATTTGGTCTATAGAGTTAAAAAAAAAAAATTACTCATGTTTGAAACAAAAATCGAAATCCACTAAAGGTATAACAAGTGTATGTTATAAGAAAAAAAAACAAGAAATATTAAGTATTCAAAAGTGTTGTTCCATTTAAAAATGTAATATTTAAACGAAGATGACATAACTACATGTTACTCGTTGGACTTCTTATTATGTGATAGGATTAAAAAATAAAACGGGCCAGCCCTCATTGAAGTTTACTTTTTTTTTAATATACTACTGTACATAGTTATATATTTTTATAATATAATATACATGGAAAATTTGAAATAAATTGACTTTGTTGACTTGGACAACTCATTTTTTAAAATAATAATTTATAAAACAAGATCTTTTTTCGAGTTCCTTTCTCTAGTTAATTAATTACTGCCTCGGTGTCAAGTTTTATATTTTTACTAACTGCCAACATAGCTAATCCATTAAAATTATAAATCTATTCTGTTTTAAGAGAAGTAATAGTAATTTATCGTTAAAATGTATTGACAATTATTTAATCACAATGCATAAAATGTTAGCATTTTTTGTTCTTACTTCACACATGGTATTTCTTAAATATGTCTTTACTCTTTTTAGAATGGAAAACATCCCCTCAGGTGTGGTGGTAAATACAGGCAATGTGCATAAAAATTTTATAATTTTAAATATATTAGGAAAACATTTTAGCATCACATTCAGTAAGAGCTTGAAGAGCCTATTTAGAACTGTATTAGTTTTGCTAATTTTGCGCCTCCACAACTTCAGCTCAACAAGTGAAACATCAAAATTTTGTATTTCTGGAGAGTATATTGTTATTTTGACAAAAGTATCAGTGTTGTCACTTTACACATGACACGTGGGTAGTATGGGCACAGAATAGATAAAAGTATAGTATGGGTACACATGGTTGGTGGCCATAGGTAGTGCATCAGTGGTTATCACTTATCATGACAATTAAATATTGAAAAAAAACTGGGTTTCCGAGTGGCTTATTGCGTATGATAGGTACTATTTGAAAACTAAGATAATGACGGGGTAGGTTAATGGTATTATGTTTTTACTATACATATATCATAAATCTAGCATAAAAAAAGGCTCTGGGGGAGGATCTATCCCCATCATCCCCCTCTCCCATAACTACGCCACCGATGTAGATCCTTCGACCCCTGTATTTAATTTGTAATTTTTGGTATAAAACATTCAATAATACTAAAAATTATTTTAAGTATTGTATTCATTTATTTCGTGTGCAAATACAAAATATACATCTCGTCAAGTCAGTCACAATATTCTACAATAGATCAGACTGTGTACATTTTGAAAAAAACATAATACGCTGATGTCACTGCTGATATATAATGCAGCTTATGTGTACACCAGGCCAAAACCGTGACTGACTATGACTATTTGACGATGGGAATGGCTTATTTCACCCCGTGCGGGTGCGCGGTCATGCTGCCGGCGTGGGCGCCACTATTCCGGCCACTCAGTGACCACTTGGCGGCCACCCCGTGGACGCAAGTGTGGCCGGATACCAAAAAAATCCGTGTTACATATCAATTCAACACGATTTTTTCTTCCGAATTCAAATCTGCAATTATTTTTTTCAACAAGACAAAAATTAAGAGTATCCACACTTTATGCAGATACATCAATGCACGGATATGATAATTCACTTCCATCCTCCTCCATAACCCCTTCATAATCTTCCTTCATAATACTTTTACTCACTCTCCCATAATCCATAATGACTTCAGAGCACTGTGACACAAAACGTGACGTTAGTATTAAAAATGTATCATTACTACAATAATTATTATAGTATTTATATATATATATATATATATATAATGTATACATTATCCACTCTTGAATAGTTTTTTATCACTACTCAATTTTTAACCAGTCATTAACTGGTTAATGCATAAATCATCCGGGTAATATATTCAATAATACATTAGTCAATTTCACACTTTATCCTTAACATATACATAACTAGCTCTAAGAAACTCTCAATAAGTAAATTATAAAAAAAAAACAAGTGTGTTAATACAATAATAATTAGTGCCATTAAAGCTATTACTAAAAACGTACTATGATATTTATATTTATTTCTGTTATTTTATAAAACTCATAATGTGTTTTTAAAGGCGATAGTAGTGATTACGACGATAATGGAATCGATAGTGTGATAATCAAAGTATGACTTTTTTTTAATTTGATAATATTTATTTTATTTTATTTTTGTTACACCAGAGGTCCGAAATTAGTTTCGGCATTCGTTTCCAAAAAGAATAACTAAAAAATGAATAGATTTGATTTACTTCAAAAAGAATACATTTTATGTTTAAAACAAACTTTAGAAGTAACAACTTGAAAAATCACAAATAATAAAAATGCTAAACACTCTTTCTAGAAATCGAGTTTTAGATGACATAATTTAATTTATGAAAATTAAAAATATTGTGTTAGAACAATTTTGTCTGTTTTATATGGCACCATAATATTATATACCATAAATTAATTTTGTTTTGCATCTCAATATGTGTTGCAGTTACATCTATTATATCTAATAAAACAATGAAAGTTAATGGTCCGTTGATCGTCGTGTCAAATCGATTGTCGTTTGTTCTGACTCGAAATGCCGAAGGAGAATTGACTAGGAAACACAGGTTAGCTGTTTTTTTGAGTATTAATTATTCGTGTACGTATTCTATTGAACCAAAACATGAATGAACAACCGCATAAACTGTGCAAATTTTAGTCGTCTAAGTTAAATAGAAAAATTAAATATTCACATCAAGATTAAAAAATTACTCTATAGCCATCAAAATATTATTAGTTCATTCAGATGACTGAGGAATCATAGTGGTTAACTCTAGGAAAAAATTCGAATCCGCATAGGTGCTATCGACAGTCTTAGTAATTATACAGTCAAATGAACGAAAACACACTCACAACCGGACATTATGCCAAGTTGTTTTATTTTCTATAAGGATAGGTGCATTTTTTCTTACTCTCATGGCGAAATTCAGGTAAAATTTTCCCAAGAAAACCTCTCTGAGAAAGCAATACAAATATTAGGTTACATAATTATGTATTATATCATAATGTATAATATTAACCTGGCCTTCCCAGCCAACCTGACTGTACATTTATACATATATCCATATAAAATATTAAACGCTGCCATTTAAATAGTTTTTTAATCGTATAGTACTATTGTTATTAACATTGAATTATTAAAACTAATTTTAGAAATTGTTCTAATTCATCATATATTCGATAAATATGTATAACTTTTAATGAAATTGAGGCCAGCTTATAAATTTTCTTTTGTATAAAGTGCTGGTGGTCTTGTGACAGCTGTGACGCCAGTTGTTATTGGTTGTAATGGAACATGGATCGGGTGGACTGGTCTGTATGATTTTAAACCTGATACTCCAATACCCGAGTCTGACCCATCGGACAAGTCTCCTACTGCTGGTTTCAAATCTAGCCAGGTTAATACAGTGAATATTTATTATTATTTTTAAGTAACATAGATAAAAGGAGTGAAGCTGAAGTGTAAGTTGTATCTTTAATGCCAAATATTTCCTTTTTTTTTTTGGCTATTTTGAAATAGTCTTAACCCAGTTTTTATTTGAAAATTATCGAATAAAAAAAAAATGATAAAATTTTAATAATTAATAACTTTAAAAAAAAAAATAGAAATTTAATAAATTTTTTTTTTTTGTTCCTACCGCATTTATTTTTTATACAAATATTTTAGATTGTTCCTGTAGAATTGGAATAGAAAGAATACGAAAAATTCTACAGCGGCTGTTGTAATAGTTTAATCTGGCCTCTTTTTCATTCCATGCCAGATCGCGCAAAATTTGTCGTCAATGACTGGGTGGTAATACTAAAAAAAATATTTTTAATTTTGTTTAAAATAATCTATTCCTTAAAAACTGCCGTATTCATCAGGCGTATTGCAGAGTAAACGAAAAATTTGCCAATTGCGTTTTGGACACTTTACGACAAACCATAAAACAACTAGACGATGCCGGACAGGAAGACACGGTTCCCTTGGTATGGATACACGATTATCAGTTGTTGACAGCAGGGAAGATGATACGAGAAGTGTGTAGAAGTGAAAACCTCCGGGTTAAACTTGGTTTCTTTTTGCACATACCGTTCCCGTCGTGGGACATTATGAGACTCTTGCCCTGGGGTAAAGAAGTTTTCGAAGGGTTATTAGGTAAAACAGACGTACCGTGTATAGTACTGCTTTGTGTGTACTTTTATGTAAAGAAGATGTGGAAGTAGAATTCGGTTTTCACATGCACTTTATGTTATCAATCGTTTGTTTTAGCTTACGATGTTGTCGGGTTCCATATTAATGATTACTGTTCAAATTGTATTGACTGCTGTAGTCGGCTACCGGATTGTCAAGCAGACCGATCGAACATGACGATACTCGTCGATGGTCGCACCGTTGTTGTAAGATCTGTACCTATCGGCATCCCGTTTAATGATTTTGTAAATTTATCGAAAAATCCTATGTTAGACATTCCGGAAGACGTAAAAGTCATACTCGGCGTGAACAGGCTGGATTATACCATAGGTAATTTATTGAAAGTCATTGACGGCGTTTTTGAAGAGGCTAAATAACAATATCAGTTTAACCGAACTTATAATATTAAGTTAGGTTAGGTTAGGAGACCAATTTATTAACAACACTGAGTACTTGTTAGAAAATTTTAGTTTTGTATTTGATTAATTTGATTGGAAAATTTAAATTTAAACATATTTTCAAACTTGAAAAATAATGGCAATTTTTAAAGATTAAACATTTTTTTTTTGACACATCAAGTTTACACATTTGATATTTTAAGATATTAATTGTTTTTGCCAAGTTGACAAGGTCTCTGAAAATGATATATTATTGATAACTTGATAAAATAATTTTATCGAGAGATGTCCAAAGAAAGTCTTTCAAGTGTCCTATTGTTAATAATAATTTTTTAATTGAAATATATTCTTAATTAGTTTTGAATAAGCTACTATTGATGGATTAGGTAAGCCGTCATTAGTATAATCTGAGTAATAATAATTGTATACGAAAACAAAAAAATAAAAACTTGATCCAAGGACCAGTCGAAACCTTTCGGGAAGGCAACTTAACGCACAATAGTGCCTTTTTTTTCATTATTCCAAGTATAACCGCTCAAAACATGGTTTAGAAATAACGACTATTTTAACATTTTTTAGATGACTGTAACTTTTCAAAAAATGAGTTTTTTTTGAAAAAAACGCACAGTCTTGCCCTTTGGAATATTGTTTTCTTTTAATTTTTATAATGGGTGCTTTTACTCTAAAACCAAAATTAAGCGAGTTATTTTCAGTTGGCGTAAACATGTTTTTACCACTGAAAATCACCGGTGCGACGACTTCTTAATATTATTGACAGAGACGACCTCGCTAAACAGACAGTTGAAACGAACAAAGTTGAGGTTTAGAAAAAGTAAAAACGAGGGAAATACACAGTAATATTGATGCAGGAAGAATAACAATAAGCACGAAGTTGTCGAGATAAACTATTTTATTTTTCGCAAAAACGTGCACACGAAAACGATCTTATTAATTGCATATACTCGAACACTAACGTTATTTAGAGTTCTGTTGTGTGCGTTGACGATGACCATCGTGCGTTGTTTATCATCATTCATATTGCTTTTTGTTTTTTTTTTCCAGGATTGATACAACGGATCCTGGCGTACGAGAAATTCCTCGAGATGTATCCCGAATTTCTCGGAAAAGTCGTCCTCGTTCAAGTATCGGTACCCTCCAGAACGGAAATAAAGGGTTATCAAATGTTGAAAGAAGAAGTCGAACATATTATCCGGCAGATCAACGATAATTTTTTCTACGGATGACTGGTCTCCGATTCGGTACATCTACGGTTGTCTCTCCCAAGAGGACTTGGCGGCTTTGTACAGGGACTGTAGGGTAGCGCTGGTCACTCCGCTCAGGGACGGCATGAACTTGGTAGCCAAAGAGTTTGTGGCCTGTCAAACAGGCGATCCCGGCGTGTTGGTCTTGTCGCCTTTTGCCGGTGCTGCTGAGCAAATGACCGAGGCTTTATTGGCAAATCCCTATGAATTGGAAGAAATGGTCAATGCCCTTCACACAGCTCTTGAAATGCCATTCGAAGAAAGGCAGTCGCGCATGACCCAGCTGCGACACCGCGAACAGCTGCTAGACGTCAACTACTGGATGCGGTCGTTTATTTCGTTTTTGAAACCTAAAGAACAACCGAAAAAAAATTCTTTTTTTCCCGACGAGCTACAAACAGTACTTTTAGGAAAAAACAAAACGGTGCTTTGCTGTTGGCCAATTGATCTAAATTAACGCTTCATTACAAAATGATGCTGCTAACATATATTTTTTTTAATTACTATAAAGCTGTTTTACACTTTAGAAGTTTATATTCACTATTATTTATGTATTTAATAATTTACTATTAGTATAGACATATTTAATTTCAACTCGATATGATATGTACGATGTAGATGTATTCTTGTTAATCAATAAAAATTGAATTGAATTAATTAAGTCGATTTGATTATACACAATATAACGTCAATACTCATCCATACTCCTCCATAATCCAATCCAAAATCATGCAATTTAAGTAGAGCCTTCTAAGGGTGAGGTTTCAGCCCCTAGAGCCCCCCTTTCCCACTATGTATCCGAACCTTCAAATGTACACATTTTGCATCTTACAATTACGGCACGCTGTATATTTTGCGAAGTAGTTCATTGACATATTACTTCCTTTACTTTGATGCAAGTAAATGCCAATCTAGGTTTGATGTAAATGTAACGCCAGCCGTATTTAATACAAGAATAGACCTAACTATGTATCTACCAATATAATTTACCTTTGGGCTGTTAGAAACTAGAGAGACATGTCAGAATTAATTCTGTCACATCCGTTACTTTGAGTACCACAACTATTGTATTTTTTTTTTAAATTCCCCGAGGACATTTTTATTTTAACGATTAACAATCTTTATGAATATAAATCCAAAGGAGAATATGGGAAACATATAAAAAATCCCAATAAATGAGCATTATATTTGACTTACATCTTTGTTTAATAACTATAATAGGTGTTTCGTTTTGTATTCACAAAGTTGCTTTATGAACATCTGGTAATTATTTATATTGAGTCTGGCCTAAGTATTAATAAATTTGTTTTAACATTTTTTGTTTGTATTTGTTCAATTTGGATTCACTTGTATAGAAAAATAAAATTGTACACATCATTAAATATAATATAAAACATTTGTTTTTTTTAGGATCTATGTCAAGGATAGGACATTGTTAGATCTTTTTTTTTTTAGTTTTACATTTGAGTATTTATAATATTATAATCAATTATTTCCCGTTGTTGTATTAAAAAAAAAAAAAAAAAATGAAGTAAGACAATATGAGTAGTTCATTGACATGCTACTTCCTTTACTTTGATGAAAACATTTTAACAAGTAAATGCTTATCAATTAGAATCAGAAAGTTGCTTAACCTTCGTTTAGAGCGCGTGTACGTAAACATATTTAATATCATTTTTTTAACACATTTTATTTTTAATTGACTGTATAAAATGTGTTTTTTTACTGCATCTGCATTTTTTGTTGTTTGGGAACGATTTTTAGACAACTTGATGGTGTTCACGTGTTGCACTACGGATCACGTGTTAGGTCTAATATTAGAATTTGTATTTAATTTTATAAAGTTTTATTTTTTTTGACGTTAATATTATTCTTTATAATAGTTACTATTCTTAAAGAAAATAAAAGTATACGAAATCGTTAAATTAAAAATATTACACTAGAATCTCAAGTTATCAATAACATAGCTACAAATAACTTAATACGTTTTAAAGTTTAGTATACCACATATATTTGTAGATAGTACTGTGAGAATGGGGTTTATACATTTTAAAAGTAGTAGGCAATTTTAATTTTTTAACTAAAAAATGCTTTGTATTTTTTTCGAAATAACAATCACGTTTAACGTTTCATTAACTGCCTTGAATAAAAAAAAAAAGAAAAAACCATATCAAATTTGATTTCTTTGTGAATGGAAATTTCACACCGGTTGTTTTTAAAACACACAAAACAATAAAATAATCGCCTTAAAAGAATCCTCATTAAATAGGTACATTGCTATTTGTTGATATATTATTTACTATAAATATACACAAATTATGATTCTACAAAAAAATTGTCAATGCTGAGCCCCATTATTAATGTGAGTGTCTGGTGTTATCATATTTTTCCTTAACGCCATAAATAACATACCCTAAAATTTGTATAGTAATTAATAGTAATCATTACACCGAAACTAAAATGTTTTTTTTTTTAAAAATATTATTTTATTTGTTTATTTACTAAGCGATATAATATGTGAATAAATCCAGGGCTTGAATTATACAAAAATAAAAGTAGGGGGACGTTTATAATTAAAAAAAAAAAAAAACATATAAAAATTAGCAGGGGTATGCTACAATTTCTGAAAAAAATAATTGGAGTACTAAGTCCTCTCACTCCCCTCCCCCATTAGAGCACAGAGAATAACTGATAGCATATTTTCGATTCGAAAAAAATAATAATTGTAGGATTTTCCCTATTGTTCATTACCGAAAAAATCTTACTGTAAAATCAAAATTTAAAACAAAAAAAAAAATGAGTCAAACGCTGTCAGAAATTTTTCAGGTGTTCGTCGTGGTGTTGTTTACACAACAACTAATCATTTTTTGCTCGCGTGTTACACACGTGTATTATTAAGTACATCTTGAATCGCGAGCGGCGACTTTTCTCCATAGTTGATCACACGAAAAGATGCCAAATAAAAACATACTGTTTTAACAGTAACTGCGATTGGTTTAAAAATACTAAATGTGGGCCTAGTTTGATCGCCATAACATTGTAATTTTTTAGTGATCGATACTTTATACATTGTTTGATTCCTACTAGCTAAGTACTTACAGTATAGTTGCACTGCCTTGTCTTGCAATAAAACTTTTTTCTAAGTTTAAGTATAGCCCAGCAAGACGTTTATCAGTTTTAATTATGCATTTACAAAGACTCTTTCTTTTCTCGACGGCAATATTATTCTTCATTTTAACGACAACCACAGGTAATATTTTATTATTCAACACATGCACAACTATTCCAGGCATGATGTATTTTTTTTAAAAAATATTTTTAATTTATTCTATGAAATATCAAATAGTATAACAAATCTTTTAAGTATGGTATTCATTTTTTTTTTCGTGTACAATTACAAAATTTGTATTAATATATTTCTTTTGAACTCCGATGCGAAGCTAAGAAGGTATTCGTTTACACAATAAGGTGTTTTAATATTATTATTTATTCTGTCTGGACTACAACAAGTTTTTTCAATCGACAACATCATCATCATCACGTAGCTCTGATTTTGTTCTGGGGGGGATAGATGTATTCGTTTACAATAAGGTGTTTTAATATTATTATTTATTCTGTCGGTTTTTTTAATTTTGCGTTTTGGACCACAACAAGTTTTTTTCAATCGACATCATCATGTAGATCCTCCGACGCCTGTATTTCATTTTTACATGTCTCACTGGTAGTATACAGTAAATATTTAAATATTTAATTTTCTAATTTTTATTGCCATTTACTCTAAGTTATGAATAAATTAACTTTTACTAACCTTTTTTTCTTATTAATATTCACCCTGAACAACTATTCAAGATAATATGGTTGCCTAACGGCCTACGACGATACTCTCATTTAACGGCCCAAAAGTTAAATAAAAAACCATCTGTTTCGAATAACTACTAGCACTCCTATCCGCGATTCAAGATAACAACCAATCGTAATGTGTTATTATTTTAAATCGTGGCTTTAGTCATGTATACAGTATATATTATGTATACATTATACACTTTTGAACAGTCTTTTATCACTAATCAAGAGTAAAACTGGTGTGAAAAAACAAGTGTGTTAATACAATTATAATTAGTGTCATTAAAACAATTACTAATAACGTATATTTAATTCTGTTATTTTATTAAACTCATAATTTGTTTTTAAAGGCGATAGTAGTGATTACGACGATGATGGATTCGATAGTGATAATCAAAGTATGAATATTGAATATATTTTAATTTGATAATATTTATTTTATTTTATTTTATTTTTGTTACACCAGAGGTCCGAAATTAGTTTCGTACCTAGTTCTATTCGACTCCCTAAGCATTCGTTTCCAAAAAGAATAACTAAAAAATGAATAGATTTGATTTACTTCAAAAAGAATACATTTTATGTTTAAAATAAACTTTATAAGTAACAACTTGAAAAACCACAAATAATAAAAATGCTAAACACTCTTTTAGATGACATAATTTAATTTATGAATATTTAAAATATTGTGTTAGAACAATTTTGTCTGTTTTATATGTCACCATAATATTATATACCATAAATTAATTTTGTTTTGCCTCTCAATATGTGTTGCAGTTACATCTATTATATCTAATAAAACAATGAAAGTTAATGGTCCGTTGATCGTCGTGTCAAATCGATTGCCGTTTGTTCTGACTCGAAATGCCGAAGGACAATTGACTAGGAAACACAGGTTAGCTGTTTTTTTGAGTATTAATTATTCGTGTACGTATTGTATTGCACCAAAACATGAATGAACAACCGCATAAACTGTGCAAATTTTAGTCGTCTAAGTTAAATAGAAAAATTAAATATTCACATCAAGATTAAAAAATTACTCGATAGCCATCAAAATGTTATCAGTTCATTCAGATGACTGAGGAATCATAGTGGTTAACTCTAGGAAAAAATTCGAATCCGCATAGGTGCTATCGACAGTCTTAGTAATTATACAGTCAAATGAACGAAAACACACTCACAACCGGACATTATGCCAAGTTGTTTTATTTTCTATAAGGATAGGTACATTTGTTCTTACTCTCATGTCGAAATTCAGATAAAATGTTTTCCAGAAAACCGTAGCTTGCTCTTTGAGGAAGCAATACAAATATCAGGTTCTAAACATAATTGAAGAGTGAAAGTGTCAAACGTTCCAAGTGCCAAAGTATAAAAGTTGTACTTTATAATATGATTTGTATTTTATTCATTTCCGGAAACAATTTTGTAAATTTTTCAAGTAAAGAATAGTTATTTATAAAAAAAAGAAATCATATTTAAAATTCAAAAAATATAAGTGTTTCCGGTAATGAATAAAATACAAATCAAGTTATAAAGTTCAATTTTTATACTTTGGCACTTGGAACGTTTGACACTTTCACTCTTCAATTAGTATGTATTAAATTATAATATAATATTAACCCAGCTTTTACAGCGGACCTTACTATAAATTTATACATATATTCATCATGTCTTTGATAATATTTTCCCCAAAAAACCTCTCTGAGAAAGCAATACAAATATTAGGTTACATAATTATGTATTATATCATAATGTATAATATTAACCTGGCCTTCCCAGCCAACCTGACTGTACATTTATACATATATCCATATAAAATATTAAGCGCTGCCATTTAAATCGTTTTTTAATCGTAAAGTACTATTGTTATTAACATTGAATTATTAAAAATAATTTTAGAAATTGTACTAGTTCATCAAATATTCGATAAATATATATAACTTTTAATGAAATTGAGGCCAGCTTATACATTTTCTTTTGTACATAGTGCAGGTGGTCTTGTGACAGCCGTGACGCCAGTCGTTATTGATTGTAAGGGAACATGGATCGGGTGGACTGGTTTGTATGATTTAAACCCTAATACTCCAATACCCGAGTCTGACCCATCGGACAAGTCTCCTACCGCTGGTCTCAAATCTTGCCAGGTTAATATAGTGAATATTTATTATTTTTAATTTGTTACATTAAGCGGTTAAGGCACAGCAACACAGATGAATGGATTGAGATATCTCAAATAATGAATAGTTATTATAAAGAGGTTACATTTACAATGGTAACAAAATACATTGTGTAAGTCTCTTTTTCAATAAAAAAATGTCAATCGCCTTTAGAAAAAACTGACGAGTATCCATACTTCAAGTGGATACATAAGCCCATGTATATGTCCTAAAGTTCTAGTATAGGACCCTGGAACTTTTTGGTACTTTTCTTATCTCTAATCTGTAATATCATATCTTTTATCTCTAATTTTATCTAGAGTATATTTTCTCTAGTCTAGTATCTCTGATATCTTATCTCTAATCTAATATGTCTAATCTACTATCTCTAATACATTATCTCTATTTTTATCTCTAATTTCCTCCTCCTTCCTCCGGTGCCGTTAGCGCAATGGTAGGGTCAGGGCATAGCGGGGACGGAGAGGTCATAGGTTTAGAGGAATTATTACAATTAAAAGTGATAAAATCAGTAGTTAGTAATTACAAACCAGACAAGTCCGAACCAAGCACAGTATAAACCAGCAAAGTAAGAAAGAATTAAAGTGAGGTGCAGTGTTTACATATTAGTATCAAAGCGTTTATATGAAAGGGATTTTATCCGAGAGGACTAGTACAGTAGGGGCATAATGGAATCAAAGCATAGAGGAGACGGAGAGGTCACAGGTCTACAGAAATAAAATTGACAAAATCACTCTCAAATAAACGCTTTGATGCTAATTTGTAGACACTGCACCTCACTTTAATTCTATTATACATTGCTGGTTTATACTGTGCTTGGTTTGGACTTTACTGGTTTGAAAATACTAACTACTGATTCGCATCGAAGCGTTTATTCGAAAGTGATGTTATATAATTTTTAGTTGTAATAGTTCCTCTAAACCTCTGTCCTCCCCGTCCCCACGGGGGAGGTTAGGTTAGGTACAGGGACTGTAGGGCAGTGCTGGTCAATCCACTCAGGAACGGTATGAATTTGGTAGCCAAAAAGTTTTTCAGCACTGAATTTTTTTAAAATATTTTAGGTTGTTCCCGTAGAAATGGAACAGAAAGAATTCGAAGAATTCTACTGCGGCTGTTGTAATAGTTTATTCTGGCCTCTTTTTCATTCCATGCCAGATCGTGCAGAATTTGTCGTCAAAGACTGGGTGGTAATACTAAAAAATATATTTTTAATTTTGTTTAAAATAATCTATTCTTTAAAAACTGCCCTATTCGTCAGTCGTATTGCAGAGTTAACGAAAAGTTTGCCAATTGCGTTTTGGACACTTTACGACAAACCATAAAAAAACTAGACGATGCCGGAGATGAAGACACAGTTCCCTTGGTATGGATACACGATTATCAGTTGTTGACAGCAGGGAAGATGATACGAGAAGTGTGTAGAAGTGAAAACCTCCGGGTTAAACTTGGTTTCTTTTTGCACATACCGTTCCCGTCATGGGACATTATGAGACTCTTGCCCTGGGGTAAAGAAGTTTTCGAAGGGTTATTAGGTAAAACAGACGTACCGTGTATTGTACTGCTTTGTGTGTACTTTTATGTAATGAAAATGTGGAAGTAGAATTCGGTTTTCACATGCACTTTATGTTGTCAATTGTTTGTTTTAGCTTACGATGTTGTCGGGTTCCATATTAATGATTACTGTTCAAATTTTATTGACTGCTGTAGTCGGCAACCGGACTGTCAAGTAGACCGAACGAACATGATGCTATTTGTCGATGGTCGCACCGTTGATGTAAGATATGTGCCTATCGGCATCCCATTTAATGATTTTGTAAATTTATCGAAAAATGCGAAAAATCCTATGTTAGACATTCCGGAAGACGTAAAAGTCATACTCGGCGTGGACAGGCTGGATTATACCAAAGGTAATTTAGTGAAAGTCAATGACGGCGTTTTTGAGGAGGCTAAATAATAATAACAGTTAATTTTAGAAATGAGGTAGATGTAATAATTAGATATTTAAATAAACCCTTAACCACAAAAAAAAATTCTATAGCGTATGTACGTATTTTGATACAGGGCTATTGTGTGCGCCGATGATAACCATAAGTGTTGCTTACAATTTTTCTTGATTAATGTTTCTTTATGTTTTTTTTAGGAATAATACAACGGATCCTGGCGTACGAGAAATTTCTTGTAAGGTATCCCGAATTTCTCGGAAAAGTCGTCCTCGTTCAAGTATCGGTACCCTCCAGAACAGAAATAAAGAGTTATCAAATGTTGAAAGAAGAAACCGAACAAATTATCCGCCGGATCAACGATCATTTTTCTACGGATGACTGGTCTCCGATTCGGTACATCTACGGTTGTCTCTCCCAAGAGGACTTGGCGGCTTTGTACAGGGACTGTAGGGTAGCGCTGGTCACTCCGCTAAAGGACGGCATGAACTTGGTAGCCAAAGAGTTTGTGGCCTGTCAAACAGGCGATCCCGGCGTGTTGGTCTTGTCGCCGTTTGCCGGTGCTGCTGAGCAAATGACCGAGGCGTTAATGGCAAATCCCTATGAAATGGAAGAAATGGTCAATGCCCTTCACACAGCTCTTGAAATGCCACTAGAAGAAAGGCAATCGCGCATGACCGAACTGCGACACCGCGAACAGCTTCTAAACGTCAACTACTGGATGCGATCGTTTATTTCGTTTTTGAAACCTAAAGAAGAACCAAAAAAAAAATTCTTTTCCCGACGAGCTACAAATAGGACTTCCAGGGAAAAACAAAATGTTCCTTCGATGTTGGCCAAATGATCTAAATTAACGCTTCATTACAAAATGATGCTGATAATATATATATTTTTTAATTACTATAAAGCTGTTTTACATTTTAGAAGTTTATAATTACTATTATCTATGTATTAATAATTTATTATTGGTATAGACATATTTAATTTCAACTCGATATGATATGTACGATGTAGATATATTCTTGTTAATCAATAAAAATTGAATTGAATTAATTCAGTCGATTTGATAATACACAATAGAACAGTGGTCATTTAATTCCGGTGCAACCCAAACAGCTCCTGTCGAAAAAGTTTTCACGAGCAGGTAAATTCCCAAACGGCTCCGGTATTTGGTACTACGCGTATATTAACAAGTCTTTTTAACTTTTCAAAAAAACTTAAACTTAAATTTAAACCTATAACCTCCTCTCAGACTGTAGCCTGCAAAACTAGGATATTTTTAGTTAGCAGAGCGAAGCGAATTGGGTGTGTGGCGTCCTCATAATGAGGAAATAGATTGATTGAGAATCAAAATGAGTACTTACAGATAATATCTTTGGCGGTTTATAAAAGTGACATGCGGAAGCACATGTTTCCTGATGGAATAGATATTAGCACAAAACCATTTTTACGGAAGGAACTAAAAACAAATTCATAATTGTTTCATTAGACTGAGGTATTGTCCTAGATAAAAAAAAAAAAAATTTTGATCTTTTTGGCTGATATGAAGAGGAAAATAATGTTCAGTCGGTTTAGCTCAATTTAAATCTGACAGGATTATAATCCAAATCCGGAGTTGGTTGGAATGTAGAGTGTAGGAAACAAGACGTAATTATAGGAAATGATTGCTAGGAATAACAAATGTTACTAAGTCGAGTAACTATTTGGGTTTAAGACAACAACAATAATTCAGATTCAGATTCAGGAAATCGAAGTAAGGAATACGGGGAAGTAAGGTCTACAAATAGGGGGATAGAACACGCATTGGAAAATATATAAATCATAGATCACCTATTAGCGTTAAATTGATTAGTTTTGTTTTTTTTGAAAATAACACAATATTTGAGCTACAATGAACGAAATTAAAAATGTATAGGTTTCAATATCATTATGTTTTTTGTTATTGCAATAGGTTCATAAATAGGATAAGAGCAACGAACAAGTAACAGTAATTGTCATGAAATAAAATCTTTTTAATAATTAAGCTGTAGTGGTCGAATTTTCCAAAAAAAAAAAATTGTGTGTGCTATTTAGTAATTTTACCCCGAAGAATGAAGATGAGTGAACTAAGGTTAGTTTTGTAAAAATACGAAAACTGCATTCGACAATACTATATGTTGATTTAAAATGATTAAAACTGTTGTCATTTTCGAAGTATTATGAAAGTATACACAACTTTAAAATATACGTAGAACGGTGAGAACGGTATTTATGGATTTTGAAGAATAGTAAACCATTTAACCCTTTATAGCACGAAACTAGAAATAATTATTTTAACTCAATTTTTGTTGCAAACCTCATTAATTGGAATGACAATATTGTGAACAAATATTTTTTTCAATTAATGAGGTAATTAGGTTACATTTAATAAGGTGGCAACCCATAGAAACAACTATACATAAACTGCCTTAATATGTTTAGGTCATATCTAAATTTTTAAAAATAGATATTTAAAAAAAATAAGTATTTTCCTGATATATTTTAAACTCATTTCAATCTTTAGTTTTATTATACAAATAATACAATGTGTTATTAAATAAATATTATTAAACATAAAATAATACTTACACCTGAGTACTAATATAGTTTTTTAATTTGTTAAACCTCATTCATACATTAAGGAATACCTTATTAAAGACCCGTTGCTTTTTAAAATCTGTAAACATATTTTAATGAGTAATAGACCGGTAACTAATAACATGGTACATACGTAATATTGTTAATACAAACGATTAAAATCCAAATATGTTACAAATAAGTTATTTTATTCCTGCAATAAGCAACACAGCGAGATAACTAAAGGTATATTTTTAGTCTCAATACAGACCTGAGTTATTTATGGTTGAAGAAATAAGCGTTCTCAACTCCCTTTCTCCCTAAAAACCAACTAGATACTATTTTTGAACTAAGCAGATGTTGATTGAGTAAATGTCTAAATTGACTTTATTTTTTGGTTTTAATTCCAAAAATTTGAAGAGAATAATAAGGCGTAAAAAATATGTCAGTTACGGAGGACGACATAGCCTTAAATTTTCAATAAAACTAATGCGTTGTACCAAGTGATTGGTTAACTATGGCCCAGTTAACAAATTAGGAGATAGTAGACTATTAGTATTTTTTTTTATACTTTACCCCATCCTTTATAATATGTTGATACCATATAAACTTATGTGTTATATATTGTAACTTATATTTTCGTTTGACTTTATAAATTAAGAGTAATTTTTTGAAGATTTTAACCGGTCGATTATCAGTTTTGGGTAATTGGTTTCAAAGTTATTTAAGTTCAAAATTTAGGACGGGAGTGGAAGTGCGGTTAGTGAGTAGTGCGCGCAGATAAACATATCCTTACTCTCTACTCTTCTTTCAGTAAGGCCTAACCTAACCTATATCACGTTCAACGGTCATGAATAAACCAAAAAAAAAACACTTCAAACTGGAATTCTCTGTATGAATGGAAATTTCGCACCTGTTGTTTTTAGCGCACATCAAACAAATTGAACGGAATACGATCCGTTCAATATTAAAGTCTGGCAAAGAAAATAACGTTGCCATTAAAAAATATTGTTTTGACAACAACTACGATTGCTTAGAAAAATATGTACCTGTTAAAAACTGAATGCCTACCTAGTTTTAATATTGTTATATTTTAGTGACAAATATTTTATACATCGTTCGAGTCCTATAAGCTAAGTGCGTACAATAATTTCACTGCCTTGATTTTCCAAAAGGATTTACCATTGAAATTTAACTGTCGGTCAACAACACGATTATAAGTATTAATAATGTATTTACAAAGACTCTATCTTTTCTTTACGACAACGCTGTTCATCATTTTAGTGTCAACCATGGGTAATGTTCTATTTTTTAATACTTGTATAACTGTTAAATTGAGGGTGAATTTTTTTAAAAATATTTTTTATTTATGATGTGAAATACCGAATAATGCAAAAAATATTACAAAATATCCTTTAAGTATTGTATTAATTTTATTCATGTGTATTTACAAAAAACTCAATATATTTATTTTGAGCTTTGATGCGGAGCTAAGATGGCATTTCGTTTACAATCCATCATACAAGAAACAATAATTGATAAGAAACACATTGATTTTATACAAACTAACATAAAATATTATTATGATGGTTATTATTAGAATAACGTTTTTGGATGAATAAATTAATAACGAGACACATGATTCACATTGATTTAGGTGTAGACGGAAAACCTAAGCCGGGTGAGTAGGTTCTTATAACTTTTACTAACAAAGGAATTGTACACAACAGCTGAACGCACTTGCGCACTAGACATTCTAAGCAGTTGTCAATAAAAATAACAAAGTGTATTTATGCAATAGTCTACACTAATGAATGCTATTTAAGTTATTACTAAAAAAGTATTATGATATTTTTCTTTATGTCTATTATTTTTTTAAAACTCATTATTGATGTTTTAAGGCGATAGTGATAACGACCATGACGATATCGATGACGATGATCAAAGTATGAATATTGCATTTATTTTAATTCAAAAATATTTAATTAAACTTATTAGTTTCGTAACTAAGTCTATTTGACTCCCTTAAGCATTCATTTCGGAGCAAACATATATAAAAATACAGATATGGAGAAGGCCTTAATCTCGCCCTATATTTAAAAAAAAAAAACTTAGAATATTTACACTTCATGCAGATTCATTGACACGTGGATATGTCCCGATACTTATATGATTATGACCGATCTATAATCTCCTTGCGATAAATGATGATAGTGTAGTCTTAATTATAATATGTTCTGGCCAAACGTATTTTCAGTAGTTTTATAATATCTGGCCTTAATCGATTTACTGGCAACATTTATCAGTATTTAACATTTCTCATAACAAATTCATGTGACTATCCTTATATGTATATTGTTATATTCTTATATATCCTAATATCCTTATATTATGGAGTACCTAATTAGGAGTACCTTATCTCTAAATTCTAATATATAGTCACTTACGAGCGCTAGATACCGCCACACGCACAAGTCTTTCTTGGTAACGCTCAGCGTGATGCACGCAAAAATATTGTAGTATTGACCCCCAGCCAATTGTGTTAGAAAAATCTTGTCTGTTTTATATGTCACCATGATATTATATTCCATATATTCTTTTTGGTTCGCATCTCAATATGTGTTGCAGGTACGCTTACTATAAGTCCTAAAAAAAATAAAAGTCCGCTGATCATCGTGTCAAATCGACTGCCGTTTGTTCTGACTCGAAATGCTGAAGGAAATTTGAAGAGGAAGCCAAGGTTAGCTATTTTGAGTATTAATTATTTAAATAAGTATTGTATGGTCTGGTGAACAACCGCGTAAACTAGGTGCTATCGACCAGTGGTGGATCTAGAGATAAAAAAAGGGTACTAAAATACAAATTACTTCAAATACAAATAAGAAATAGTCATAGTAATTAATGTTGACATAGTGAAAAAAATTCATATTTGAACCTAATATTATGACATTTTCATGTCTTTGCTGTGGCACATAACCGAAAAAAGCGTTAACAAAAAAGCGTTACCACACGGAGATGGGGTTGAAGATAGGGGGTGGGATATAGGGGTGAGTGATAGGGGTAGATGATAGAAGGGGGGGGGGGAATTAGCTGTGGTGTATAACCGGAAAAAAGTGTAACGCAAAAAGTGTAACGAATCAGTATCAGATAGGAGATATGTTGTACGTTCAACGTTCAAATTAGAACTAAATGGTAAATTCAATGTAATTTAACAGGTCAAATTATTCAAGCCAGATTTTATGAAAACACAAAAAAAAAGTATTAGCCAGAAATTTGATTGTACATAATTTTTTAATGTCCTTGGCCATATGCTGTAACTGGAAGCTCCATGGAATATTTGTTTTATATGGTCTGGCCAAAAGTAACTTAACATAGAGAATTCGGGCCCTTCATTTATTTTGTATTTTATGCAATATAAAAACTACTTTCTT